AGCGAATTATAATAACATTTTTTTACTGAGTATAACCATTTATTATTGGTAATCAAATACAGTATGATATAATATGTCATTAATGATATTAGAATGCTGCTGGTTTTTTGGTTACGATTTCGATAACGGTTTCTTTCGGGATTTCTGTTGAGCAAAATCTTCTATTATAGGCGTAGTATATGCCTTGTGATTACTGAATTGTGAAATAAGTGTAATGTGCCCGACAAAAATGTTTTGAAAATAAACGCGTGAAAGAAATTGTCGGTCTTTCGGGGCCCCCTGACAAAGGGGGCCCTGGGCACGGGCCCCGTGTGCTCTTATGGTAAAGACGGTATTGGGCAGCCGTTGTAGTCTAAAACTGAGACTTAGAACTCATGCCTCAAGGTGGGTGGCTGTGTGGTTGGGCGACATTTGCGTTGTTTAATGTCTATGTTTCCAGCTATTACGCAAATTTACCAATTTCACGGTTTTGATTTTAATTAGGTATACGATGTTATTCCTTCATCGTTGACTTCGACCGTGAACACGTGTTAAGCATGAATTTTCTTAACCAAATTGGATTTGAACGTAGTTGCATCGCCCGATACGAGTACATCGGACGCCTTACCCTTTAGACAACTATACAGTATACACTACCAAACTGTCATAAACTTATGTTCGGAACCTAGCAAATTTTCGTCTTTAACACGGGTTTATGAAGGACTTCCTTTTGAAGGAACTTTTAGGAATAAAATCGTGTAATCTATCTATCTATCTTTTACTTCTATCTTCTCTATATAAGTATATAAAAATAAATTGCTGTTCGTTAGTCTCGCTAAAACTCGAGAACGGCTGGACCGATTTGGCTAATTTTTGTCTTGAATTATTCGTGGAAGTCCAGGGAAGGTTTAAAAGGTGAGAAAATATAAAAAAGCTCGGAACTATATAAAAACAAACAATTTTGTTTTTCCTTTGATGTGTCCCCTTGATGTATCTTTTATTTATCGATTGAGGCACTACGAAGTCTGCCGGGTCAGTGCGTAACGAATAAATAATCCAACGGCAAAAAACTGCAACCTTCAGTGTGGGAATTCTTGTGGCTCGCCCAGCGGGATTGGACTTATTGTCCTAAATTAGGTCGTCCTAAAGACTTTGATTATTATTTTTATTTTTTCTTGAATTCAGACGAGTCATCATAGTCCATTTTGTGTTGGGTGGCTATCCGACCCTTATCGGAAATTAGAAAAATAATAAGTATTACCCGTGCGTTAAATCACTTAACTGAGCGTGAAAAAAACTCAATTCATCACAATCACAAAAAAGTGTCACATGCACCATTCACGGTACAATTAATTAAATCTATTGTCAGTATCGACAATTGTCATGATAATTATAATAATTCGTATTACAAATACACAGAAGCATCCATGTGATGTGTTTCTACGAACAATCATAATTGCATACGTATTTTTTTTTCGATTAGATAACTGTTTAAGCTGATATAATTCCCAGTGAAGGGCGGGAGTCCGGCGATTTCCTCCAGACCAAAAGCTGATATAATTAATACTCTACATTAATGCAGGTACATTGTATGCTATTCGACAAAAGTAATTGCAATTGTTTGAAAGGAGGTTTATTTTAGGAATTTAAATGTTTTTTTTTTCACGTTCATAAAATTTAAAAATTGGAATGAACCACGATCTAATTTCCACCACTATACGAGCACTAGTAATGCAGTAACTGCACTAAATTTATACAATGTACAACAAACAGTAAGATGCGATACTTGGTAGATTTAGTGCATTTTGGGACAATGCTAACCTTACAGTGACTGAATCAATTTGGTTTGCATATATATGACTTGCAGTTACGTAGGTATTTGCATAGCTTTAGGGCTTTATTAAGAAAAGTGGTGTGGTACGTTGCAAAGAGATAAAGAGAATGTATAATAAGTTAAGTTACGTCTAAAAGAGTATTTTTGCTACTTATATACTCCATAATATCCTATGGTGATTTATTCGTTATAAACCATAGCTTACATAGCGTATGGGAGATCGGTTAGCAATTTTCCTATTATTTAAAACTTGCTCGTGAATACACTTTATATAACTTATTTACCTTGACACACTTACGCTTATTGATGATCTATTGGTGTGACTATTATACCACAGAGTTAGAGTTCATTTTTGCCAATCATTTATCTACCAGCCAATCCTTAAGAAAATCCTACTCTGGGATTGTTTACTACACACGTATTCGACTTTCAGTAAAACTTAAACTACATGAATATGGCAACATTATTCACTGAGGGAAATGCATGGTATTGAACCACGAATGTGTTCAAATTTATCTTCGAATCTTTAAAAAAGAGGGATACAAAGATCATATTTATTATCTAGAGCGCTTCTCTTATCGCATTTCAAGGATGATTGTGTTAATTACACTCGCCACTTGGAACGTTGCCCTCTAAATGTCATGAACATTTTGATTAAAGCAGTTTTATCGATGCTAAACTAGGAAAACTATTCGCAGTAACAAGTGAGAACACGCAAGTCATCATGGAAATGTAAGATTTTTTAGTATAAGATATTAATTAAAAAGTATAAGACTTTATAAGTTTTTTTTTTTTAAATATAACAAGATTACTAGAAATAAATATAATAGACATAATTAGAAATTACTTTAGTCCGTCCTCTTCACTTAAATGATACATTTAAAAGGGCTTAAACTTAAAAAAATATCATTGGAAAACAAAATGCAAATTATCTATGTGTTTACATTGTTTTTTTTTTATCAAATATTAATGGTCAAAACATAAGATTTCAAACTACTAATAGGTATTCAATTCATAATTTCAGTTTTAAGGAATGCAAATAAATATGTGGGTAGGCAGCGGCTTGGCTCTGCCCCTGGCATAGCTGAAGTCCATGGGCGACGATAACCACTCACCATCAGGTGGGCCGTATGCTCGTCTGACTCCTCCTCCTCCTTCAGTCGATCGCTCATTGCTGAGCATCGTGATGCGCCCGCCTGTGACCTTTTTTTGTAATTTGTAGCCACTTATGTCGGTCTGTGGCACAGTGAAGTGCGTGGCTCAGTCTCATGTCCAGACACTCAGATACTTGGTCACTCCATCTTTTTCGGCTCGTCTGACTACATGGCCAATAAAAAAAAGAAAATTAATGTATTTGGTAGTAAATGTAGTAATGTGTAAATAATGTAAAATTTTCTTGTAATGTTATATTTTTATTTTTCTAGTAGCAAACAGTGAACCGCTTGTTTTTACCAATTCATGCAGTCGGTACCTGCAACTGTGTTAGAATTTAGTGTGAGATCAATGTCTAAACCACTTGTAATGTTCTGTGCTAATGTATAACATGTTGGTACCCAATAAATTAAATAATAATAAAAAAATAATAATAGCGTGTGGTGCATGGTATCAATAGTTATAAATATTTTATGAACAGATATGAGTAGAAGGGTCATCTTGATAATACCCTGAAAAGCACCCCAGACTTTTTTTACAGGAACATATTTTTTTTTTAATTATTCAAAAATTTCATCCGTATCAGTCGGTAACTTATCCGAGAAATAGGTGATCGTCGCGCCTGGTAGTTTTCCTTCTTGGTCTTGACGCAGACACTCCGGGACTCAGGAAAACAAAAAATCGCTAATCCTGATTATCCTAGTAAGGATAACGGATCAAACTGTTTCAAATATTGAATTGTCATCGGTCCTTGATAAGTATGCCAAATTTCGAGTTAATCCAACATTTTAAAGGGGGCAAAATCATGTACAAAGATTCCGTTACATACTAACATACGTATGAAGCTAATAAAAGAATATCGACGCTTGAAAGGCAAACGTGACTAAAGCGGCAATGCGTGAACTTTACAGTAGACTAATTTAAAGTTGAAATATCTGAAAAAAAATATATTTTAACGAATCTAGCTGTAGGATTAAAATGATTTTAATAGACCTAGAAATACAGTCAAACCTGGGTAAGTGAGAACTGGATAAGTGAGAAAACTCTATAAGTGAGAGTTATAGCCAGGACCCGTCATTTTAAGCTCCCAAAACCTCTATTAGCGAGAAACAGAAACCTCTATAAGCGACAGTCGAGCTTTATTTATTTATATTATTTAGGAGGAACAAATGACAAAACAAATTACAAATTTAACATCTGCTATTTTATGACTCATTCTTAACTTTTGTGGAACTTCCTTCCATTGTTTTTGTAATGTTTTCTCGTCAATATTGAACCCATTCTATTTCGTGGAACTAAATGATGTTGTTATTTTATCGCATTCTTATCGAATGGACACGTGTGCCTGTGTACCGTCCTGTTTGTCGGACTTACTCAGTTTAATCAATTGCGAAGGAAAGTTCTGTTCTGCATCATGCCAAAACGGAAAATTAAAGTACTGTCATTAAGTGATAAGCTTTAAATAGTGAATGCGTTTGAATCCGGAAAATCGCGAAATTAAATTCAGAGGGAGCATAAGCGAGAAACTCGGGTTAGTGAGAAACCTCTATAAGCGAGAATGAGATTGTGCTCCCTTGAACTCTCGCTTATCCAGGTTTGACTGTATATATTTTTTTGCGCATCGAATATGGTTATTGCCTATCATTTATGTATAAAGCAGTTATTGTCTCTTAGTCACGTTTGCCTTTCAAGCGTCGATATTGAAAATGAAGGGAAAATGCCTGCAAGACCAAAGAAAATATATTTAAGTGCAATTAAAATTAAAACCAATGATAAAATGTGAACAGTGTAACTCAAAGTTCTATGTGTTCAAACTTCGTACTGTTTTAATAACACAAGATCAGATATCCAGTGAAACCACAATACAGGTCACCGGATTCAAATTTACAGATAGCCGCAGTGAAGGCTACCGCTCATTTAAAAAATATATCGTTCAGATTGTAGTATAAGAACTCCATCTCACGTGGACTTGTCATTCCAAGCAGAAATTAAATAAATTGATTGGAAATGTAACAAAATTAAAAGTCAGACATACGGCTTGTGTTCATCCATTATTTTTCTCGCTCCTTGACGCTCTGGCAATCCGGTGTCCCTTTTCTAAGATTCACATCTGAAACAATCACATAAATTAACCCACAAAAATTCGTCTTTAAATACTGAGAAATTCGCGCGGAGAATCTAGTATATAATCCCTTGAAGTTACTAGAATAGGTAGGAAAAAAAAGAGACCTTAGAAACTCATATCTCGAGGTAGGTGGCGGCATTTGTCTTTTATTATTACTATGGGCACCGGTAGCCACTTAGCACTAAGTGGGCCGTGAGCTTGTCTATCTAAGCAATAAATAAAATTATAAAACCCCGGTATTTTTTACATTATAGAGTTACTCGTCACAACTAATAACCGTGACCATCGATTCGTTATGCGAATCCAGAATGCCTATAAAACGATTTGTTATGCCCTAATATTGATAACAACTCGAACAAAATGAACTGGTATAAGCGTGTGTTACAAGCAATTCACTAGTAGGCATCTTAATTTTATTTCTGCTACAAAGTAGTTTCCGAGTTTGAAGGGTGATGCAGACGGGATTACAACAGAAACTTCGACGTCATGTCCGAAGATGACTGACATTGTACACGTAGTGATGTTACCCACTGAGTTTCTCGCTGGATCTTCTTGGTGGGTCACGATTTCGAACCGGTAGTAGATTCAGCGAAGGACTGCTCTTGCTAGGGCTAGTGTTGCAACTCTCTCAGGTTGAGCCCGTGAGCTCACTTACCGGTCCGCGTAAAATTTTAATATGCCCTTAGGCTACCAACGATTAGGTAGGGCGGAAAAAACGTAGTAATGTCTATAGGCTCCAGTAACCACCTAACACCTAGATGAACCCTAACGTTCTTATTCCAGATTCAAGAAATATAATATTTTTTTGTATTAGTAGGAACTGCAATAAATTCTTATTTTGATAAATATTAAGACGGAGTTTTTTAATATTTAATGTATCTTTTGCACGTTTGATTTACAAGAATTGTCGGAAATATTAAATATTAATCTTGAAACTGTAACTGATTTTTTATTATTTTAAAATATCGATCTTATAGTTCTAGTCTATCCACTTCGGTGTTCATTTTTAACACGCTTTTAATAATTTGGTATATATAGTATGTAATTAAATCTTTGAACGTTATTTTCGTAGACCTCAAGACCTAGGTTGAACATTTTCAGACCCGGAAAGGGCAAATGAAATTACAATAAATTTATAACGCTCTGATCAAGTATCAAATGGGTAAAAAACAATATATAAAATTAATTGCTTAGCGGCGTTTTTAATTTTCAAACTACCTACATATTTAACAATACTTAACATACAAATGTGAGTTAACTTTTACGCTATCGGGAACGTTAAAAACCTGGCACTAGATCGGTGTGTCAAACGAATCACAAACGGTAATCAGCCAATAAATCCGACCATCTTACATTACTGACCACTGTCAAAAAGGAAGTAATTTGCGGATGGCTCTTATCCTATCATTCTATTGATATTAGAGAGTTCGAATGCACGCAGGGATGTACTGCGTTATGTAGCGCAAAATACTTCGCATTTGACTTTCTAACGTTGAACGGGTTTATAATATTTTATCAAAGAGGATCACTACTAGAATATAGTTTAGTATACATATGTGTGTATACGTATGTGACCAAGTATGTATGTACCTAGTCAGGTCATAAGTATTGTCACACAGTAAAAACTTTTCTTTTAGAATGCTGGCCACAAAAAAGTTTATTGAATTCGAATCTCGAATTGTTCATGAAAATAAAAATGTATACTTTTAGAATTTTACTCATTTTTAAATATGGAGTGGACGCTTAAAGAAGACCGTGTTGCAGTTATTGCGTTGCATCGTTGCGGTTACGCGCCAATTCAAATTTTTAACATACTGAAAAATTTGAATATAACCAAAAGATTCGTTTATCGTACCATCAAACGATACAATGAAGACTCTAGTGTAGATGACAGGTCAAGAAGTGGTCGCCCTCGGTCTGTTAGGACTCCAGCAGTGATAAAAGCTGTGAAGGCGCGAATTCAAAGAAATCCCAAACGTAAGCAGAAACTGTTGGCCCTTCAGATGGGGTTAAGCAGAACCACGGTGAAAAGGGTGTTAAATGAAGACTTAGGGCTTCGGGCATATCGAAGAAAAACAGGACATCGTTTGAATGCTCGTCTAATGGACCTGAGACTGAAGAGATGCCGCGCTTTGTTGAAGCGGTACGCGGGAAAAAAATATCGGGAAATTCTTTTTTCGGATGAAAAAATTTTTACCGTAGAAGAGAGCTACAACAAACAAAATGATAAGGTGTACGCACACAGTAGTGAAGAAGCGAGCAACCGTATTCCGCGTGTCCAACGAGGTCATTTTCCATCCTCGCTCATGGTATGGTTGGGAGTTTCTTATTGGGGCTTAACAGAGGTACATTTTTGTGAGAAAGGTGTAAAAACGAATGCAGTTGTGTATCAAAATACAGTCCTGACGAACCTTGTGGAACCTGTTTCTCATACCATGTTCAATAACAGGCACTGGGTATTCCAACAAGATTCGGCGCCAGCTCATAGAGCGAAGAGCACACAAGACTGGCTGGCGGCGCGTGAAATCGACTTCATCCGGCACGAAGACTGGCCCTCCTCCAGTCCAGATTTGAATCCGTTAGATTACAAGATATGGCAACACTTGGAGGAAAAGGCGTGCTCAAAGCCTCATCCCAATTTGGAGTCACTCAAGACATCCTTGATTAAGGCAGCCGCCGATATTCACATGGACCTCGTTCGTGCTGCGATAGACGACTGGCCGCGCAGATTGAAGGCCTGTATTCAAAATCACGGAGGTCATTTTGAATAAACTTTAGTGTCATAAGAATCTATGTTTTGTTAAGTTCATTTTGGTATATAAATGGTTACATAATGAATAAACTTGTTTCAATTATTTTACATTAAACATGTGACAGAACTTATGACCTGACTAGGTATATGTATATGACCAAGTTACGGTAGGCAGCGGCTTGGCGGTAGCGGCGGCTTGGCTCTGCCCTAGCATTGCTGAAGTCCATGGACGACGGTAACCTAATGGTGAGCCATTAGGTGGGCCGTATGCTCGTCTGCCTACAAGGGCAGTGAAAAAAAAAGTAAAGTTTACGCCTCGATATGATTCAAACCATAGACAAAAACAAGGAATGAATAACCCGATGCGCCTTATTTTATAATTTAATTTTCCTGCTAATAAACCCACTTATTTATTTATTTACGAGAACTGACAAACTGCGTACTGCTATCTAAAGTGCACGTAGTATCAAAGATGTACTTAAATTCGTATCTGTCTTCTTACAATTGATCAATTGTATGGTAGTTGACGGATCACTTATTAGTATTCAGCAGCCATAGTTAGGTCAGAATTATTTTATTATTATAACCTTCTTACCTACTCAATGTTAGGCCAAAACGTTTCGTAAAGATTTAACTTATGCTGTTACTTTTTATTTATCGCCATAGACAGGCTCACAACCCGTTTGGTCTTTTATTACTGAAGACCATAAACATTACAACGCAGTCACCATAAGATCCAAGTCTTGATTGTGTTGTGTAACGGATGTTCTTCAAACAGGTTTGCTACCGTTCCGTTTGCTACATAACAAAAACAAGTCTTTACTGGTGGCAGGACTTCTTGTGAGTCCGTACGGGTAGGTACCACCACCCTGCTGCCTATTTTTGCCGTGAAGCAGTAAGGCGTTTCGGTTTGACGGGTGGGGCAGCCGTTGTAAGTATACTGAGACCTTAGAACTTATATCTCAGGGTAAGTGGCGGCATTTACGTCGTAGATGTCTATAGGCTCCGGTAACCACTTAACACTAGGTGGGCCGTGAGCTCGTTCATCCACCTAATAAAAAATAAAAAAATGCTTATTAACAGATGACGGTACCGACCGTGTGGGCGGACAGTGCCCCTGCAATTACGTAATTTTATACTTTTTGCATGTTACGTGTGTTTAATTCGCAAAATTGGTACCCGCCCTGCGGTTAGCCTCCGGAATAATCGAAGTCCTCGACACAAGGTGTCTTACAAATGAAGCTACGATTCGAAGTGAAATTTAAATATAGCTATTGCCATGCCAATAAAACATTTTATCTATATCAAATGGAATACTAGACCTATTAGTTTCTGAAGAATTAAAGTTTTTTAAATTGTGCAAAAGATTCATAAAAAAATAAATATATATTATGAAATGAAAACAATGGGTTCATGTTTAGTCTAACATCTTGTAAATTTGCGATAAAAAGTCAATTGCATTCCAAACTTTTATTTCTCAATCATTTCGGTTAATTAACATGTTTATCACCAGCACAATAACAATTAATAAGCAAAATATTTACATTCAAGTTAATCGACTTCTGAATGCATCTGAATAACTAGTTTACAATTCAATAATATTTACTGCTTATCATCTCCTTATCAGTTACGTTATTCAATGAGATCTTTTTGTATTAAATAAATTGACAGAATAATCAGGTTTTAGGGATAAGCCCGGCATTTTTCAAAGCGCACATCGCGTTCAAAAGATTAAAAACATTGAATACCAGTATAATTACGCTATAAAACAACGACATCACGAAACTGGTGGTTGTGAGCGCGCGCGAGTAAGTACCACCACCACCCTGCATATTTCTGCCGTGAAGCAATAATATGTTTCGGTTCGCAGGGTGATCAGCCATTGTACTATAAAACTGACACTTAAGCCGAATTTACATTACGAAATTAGTGGCGTGAAATTAATTTCGTGACATTAGTTTTACCAACAGTTTCACGTGTAATTTAATACTTTCGTAATGCATGCATTAATTTCATGCATGCAAATTAGTTNAACAGTTTCACGTGTAATTTAATACTTTCGTAATGCATGCATTAATTTCATGCATGCAAATTAGTTTCGTGCCCTGCGCGATTTTTTGGTGAAATTAGTGTCATGCAACTAATTTCATAGTGTAGACGCGACGTGAAACTAATGTCGCGAAAGGGCCTGCGCTGTGCGAACGTGTGTATTGTTAGTTCGGACGCGCTTCGAGCGTTGAAAATGGCAAACCAACGATGGAGTACAGAAAAAAATATAGATCTTATTAATGAATATCAATGACAAGGGTCCCGAAACACCTACAGTAAAAAATCAAAATTATCTTCACTCGTTCGAAAATAGTTTTTATAACTCTCAGGATCTTTATCTGCTAATTCAGAGACTAACTTCATTGCGCCTAAATGCCTTCTTGTTGACCATCCTCGAATCTACCAACTTTTTTTTTCTTGATAGTCTTTTTTTAAGTTTATATGTATATAAGCATTTCTTTAGCTACATTGAATATAGCAAATTATAGCTTTGATGTTGAAGGCGCCATGGTTACTGCGATACTGTGGATTTCGCGACACTAATTTTTTAACGAAATTACTTTCGCATATATCGAAACTACTTTCGTGAAACTGAGTTCAACATGCATGACACTAATTTCGTAATGTAAACTCCGCATTAGAACTCATGTCTCAAGATGGTTGACGGCATTTACGAGTACGTTTCTAATGTCTATGGGTTCCTGTAACCACTAAGGACCAGGCGAGCCGTGAGCTCTCGTCTATGCACTTAGCAAGCACACTTAAACTTATATAAATACGACGATCGCTGTTTCTATCGGCGCTTACTGGTGATAGGACGTATTGTAAGTCCGCATCAATATCCTGCCTGTTTTAGGCGCCAACCCGTCATACATTCCGTTTTAAAAAACAATTGGAGCTTTGATCCAAGTCTCATCGTAGAACGTGAATGCCGCCGTTCATCTTGTGATTTCTGGGGACTCCGGTTTAATTAATAATAATAATATTTAATACTAAATAAGCTCTGTGGGCTCGTTCGCATTCGGCAATAAAAATATATAATTTTTAAAAAAAAATTAAAAAAAATAATTAAAATGGGCATGACGATCATCAACCTATTTTTTCGTATAACAAAATAAATACTTTATTTATTGGGCATAAAACCTCATAGTAATGACAATAACAAGATTCGACTACACAAAATGAATAGCCTATTTCGTAACAACTGTGTTTATTGGTGGTAAATATAGCAAATTGATAACGAATATAACTTCTATTGATAAACATTTCACATGTTCCTGACCTAACATCTTCAAATAATTATCCATTGATTATTATTTTATTATTGTTGTGGTTGGATTATTGTAGTGGTCAAATAAATTGCATCATTTTAAATATCCAATTTTTGATGGTCACTTTTATCAATTACAAAAATTAAGTGGAAACTAAAAATATTTTTTTGCTATACAATTAGATTCAGTCTGGTGCTTCGACCCGCCTACGGATCGTTGAGGCGCTTAACCCAATCCTGACCTTCCGACTGGTTCAGGTGCTGGCCGAGCTCACTTGCTTCGGCAAGTAGCAACACCAAGTCAAAGCTAAGCCAACAGAGCGTAGCATGGCAGGACAGTGCTCTTTTCTCTCGGCCCTAATCCTTCGGCGTATAGACGGTAAACGAGATAGAGATCTCACTAGAATCCAGATGGAGATCTCACTAGAATCCTGGTCATCTAAGTGGTTCGCGTGCCCTCGGAATTCCTATTTATGAAATGGCGAAGAATACGACGTTCACTACGTGCATCTTTCTAAAAAACAACCGCGTAACGGAAAAATAACCCGACTCCGACACCTGCTAATTTTGTCTTAGAGAAACTTCGCGACGGTACAATTTGGACGCGCTATCTAGCAGGGTTTCAGATAGGTCACCCTTTAAGAATTTTAGTGGTCTTGTTCCAACAACCGTTGCATCAGGATTCCGAGGGGGAGTTCTACTCTCCAAGCGCGTCCTTTTTTATCCTCCTGCCTCACTTGAATTCTCTCTCTTCCGAAACTTTGATTCAAATTATTAATTGACAAAATATTTTAATCAAATTATTTGATTAAAACCGTGCAACAATTATCGCCTCTTCTTGTCTGTAAGATATGTACAGTGGAGTGTGGGGACCATGACGAGATACTAAGGCTGCATAACATGTTGCATTCCACAAGATTCAATGCCTTATCCAATATTTTTAAGTTTTCTTATAATCCTACACAATTTACCAAATTTGCCTAATTACTGGTGTTAGTGCCCATATTGTTACCTCACAGAGTAATCTCACAAGTTCGATAGCTACATGAAATCTATTTTGGCTATGAAACAATCATTCCTTGCTGTTTCAATGGTATGACAGAGATACAATTTCATGTCTCTAGCTGGGTTGTGAGATTCATGTTGTAATAATAACTGTATAACTTACTTACTTACTTACTTAGCAGTAAGTGGCAGCTTGGCTCTGTCCCTGGCATTGTTGACGTCCATGAGTGATGGTAACCACTTACCGTCAGGTGGACCGTAGGCCTGCACAAGCAATAATAATAAAAAATTGCTGGACATTAGATGATTTAAGGCTGATGTTAGCCAGTCTAAAGTAACAGATGTTTTTTAAGCTATTAATTTGTGTAACCTAAAACTGTCAATTCGAAAATAGGGGATATTTTATTTATTCAAACTGATTGAAAAAATTATTGATTTATGTATTTGTGAATTAAAAGATCTACACATACTATGCTCACTTATACATTGAAACATGAGATAGAATTTTCAATAGATGGTGTCACAATATATGGTAAGCTACTTACTTTCCATTGGTAACCACAGAAACCTAACAACTCACAAGATGTCATTAGAAGGATGTCTATGCCGAATTCAAATGGTACAAACAACCAAAAAACTGTCAATATGACATTTTAAAATACTTTACTTTCATTCAGTAGTTTTGTTGTGTGTTAAGTACTTCTGTAGTAGTAACTATTTACAACTAAAAACTTTTACACTAATTCAATTTGATTCTCAGTGAACATTCATGTAGTCGTATTGCAGCAGAATTAGGCAGAACGGCATTACCCACTACATTACCTACATTACATGGATACTCACAAAACATGACAACTAAATGCTGCTACCCATTATTTGCACCTGGAAGAGGTGATGATGGTGGATAGAATTATGGTGATGGTATAGGCTGATACCACAAATTAATATTGTTTTACATAGGTCTTGTTTTATATTCAATTAGTGATTTTAGTTCTCTTTTTGACTTAAACTGCCTACTTAACTATTTGTTGTTTTTGGATTGCTGAGATGTGTGTACAAGCTCACAGCCCACCTGGTTAATATTAAGTGGGTACTGGAGCCCATAGACATATACAATGTTAATGCAGTATAGTTACAACGGCTGCCCCACCCTTCAAACCGATACGCATTACTGCTTCACGGCAGAAATAGGCAGGGCGGTGGTACCTACCCGTGTGGACTTACAAGAAGTCTTACCACCAGTAATTACGCAAATTATAATTTTGCCAGTTTCATTTTTATTACACGACGTTATTCCTTCACCGTGGAAATCAATCGTGAACAATTGTTAAGTACGTATTTCATTAGAAAAATTGGTACCCGCCAGCGGTATTCGAACACCGGTGCATCGCTAGGATACGAATGCACCAGACGTCTTATTCTTTAGGCCTCGACAACTTCAACTGTACTACTTTCTAAATAGCAAGATATAAGTGAGAAGAATGAAATTGTAATATAATATTTTTCAAACTGTTTAATTTATTACCTTGATGGAAATGTTGCGGAATAGGAGACCCCGTTCATGGTCTAGCTATGACAATATATCATGCTGGTGCACTTTGGAGTTTATTTCTCATTATCATGAACTCATATTTTTCTCACATTCTATAATTGTAATACACAATTTGATTTATACGACATTTTTTATGTTTGTTTTGTTTTATTTCATTCGATTATATTTATTTCCATTATACCTTTAAAGTATCGTTTACGCATGTCATTTATTTTTAATGTGACATTGACACTTGACAGTAAATGTTTGACACTTGAGGTATAAGAGTCAAATCCCATAAGGGTTTTTTCCATTTAATTTCTTCAATATTTATTTATACATGCTTTAAACGCGCCTTCTTAATGTTGTACTTGATGTAGACACTAGAAATAAAATAGATGGTGTTTCGGTCGGTCTACGAAATGTATTCAACCCCAGACAATTTTCCATATATAAAATTATAGTGTATGTTCCCACCTGTCAAATAGAAGAATCAAACAAACAAAATAAAAACGAATGCAGCCCAACTTGGAGAGTAGTTACCGACACTCATAGACATAAGCTATACCAAAAACACTTCCAAGCTTCTACCTATCGCCAAAGATAATATGTACCGTAAAATGGGGCGATTAGGGACAAATTCCAACTTTATGAGCAATTTTAAGGTAGTTGTTGATGTATATAATGCTATATCAGGATCAAAATGATTGAGTCTTGGGGGCATCTTTGTTGTCTAATTTAAAATTATGCAACTAGCATTCCAGTTTAAGCAAAAAATGCAAAAATAGGTGTAATCCCTATTTACCCGAAAATTGCGGTTAATTGGGACGAAATGAGAAATTTGCTAGGGTTGGCACTACTTTTATTTTTATATATAGTTTTAATTTATTTATTTATTTAGTTGCACCAACAAAGTGATCATCAATAAAAAAAATTGAAAAACTGACAAAAGTACATGGCAGACATCACCTCAATTATAGGTGCAATCGACAGTGCTGATATTTCTATCTGGGTTAAGAGATTAGGTGTGTCGGTTATTCCATGGATTAATCAGATGAATACCCCCACTCTGAACAAATATTAAATATTTTATTATGTATTACTTAGACATTTTTGTCCACCTTGAGATTTCATTGATCTTGTTACATGTCTCTGCAAAATCGACTTACTTATATTAAATTGCTTATCTATTTCAACTAAAGACTTATTCCCAATTTCGCTTCGAATAAACCAGATTTTTACCAACAAATTTAAAAAATATTGTTATAACTACATAGACAACCCTACAAACCTGTACCTATTTATACTTAGGTCGTTTCCATTTCACGTATTCTCATCCCAATTGACCCCTTTTTCGTTGTTATTTGTACCTAAGACGTCCCCAATATCCCCAAAAACAACAGATTTTTACATGTATTTTTATTTAATCAAATACATTAAAACCAATAACAACTGAGACTTACCTTTAATATATATGCTGGTTCAAACACTAAATAACGTTTATAAATCATAGTCGTCTTCTATTATTATCAAATAAATAAAAGAGAGCAAAGTTTCTAGCACTAAAATAATGACCACCACAGGAAGTTAATTTGAAACGCGATTTTTTATAAGTTAGCAGCTATTATCATGCATATTCAGAGTTGTTTTGTGAACTTTCAACATTCTACTATTAAACTACAAAAAATGGAAGATTTTGCAACGAATATAAAACTTATATTGAGCGTCGAAAGATTTTCCCAGTTTTTTCCCGATTCGCCTGTCAATCCCTAATCGCCCCATTTTACCGGTAATGATTTTCTAAACATTTCATATCGGAACACATTCAACTGTTTCAGGAATTAATAAAACTGTTGAGAATTACTGTTTATTGAGGTAGTTAAATCGTAATTATATTACCTTCTGTATTATTTTCATTTCAAATTACCTTAATGTATATTTATTTATTACTTAACAAAATTAAGATCTTATTCCTTATTAAACAATCAGATCATACTAAATTAAGATCTTGGTCTCTTTACTGCTTTCTTTTCCCTATTCAGTTTATATGCAGTTGACATTTTCTGTATATTCTCTTTATGTATTGTATCATGGTTGACTATTCGTTTAGGATAGTGTTCTCCTATAATACATCCTGCATTTCTTTGAATTGACTGAGGTGCTTTCCATGGTTCATATATATATTCTCGTGGATACTTCTTTAATTCAGGTACATACTTCTTAATGTAAACTCCCTCTTTATCAGTTTTCTGACCAAATGCCACTGGACTATAAACTCTGAAATATTTGTAAAAGAATGCAGAAGCTGACAACCACATCCAATTACCAGCATTCAATGACCAGTCATAATCAAGTAGATAATCTTCAAATATTTTAGCTCCCTCTTCCCATGATATCCAGAGATCACCTCGGGTTAAGAAGCAAGCCACCATGTGTCTAGCTAAATGATGGATCCAACCTTCTTGTTTCAGTTGCCTCATGATTGCATCAACAAATGGGTAACCAGTTTTACCTTCTGCCCAGGCTTTTAAGAAGGCGTCATTTTTTGTCCAAGGTATTTGAATGCAAATAGCATTACCAACCATTTTGTCAAAATTGGCTACACCAGTTCCTGCTGTATAATAAAATTCTCGCCACATTAATTGTCCCATCAGAGATACTGGTGGCAAGGTGTGTTGCCTACCATTTTCCACCTCTTTGAGTTTATGATAAAATAGTTTTGCTGATAAGCAACCATGACTAATATATGGACTGAGTACTGTTGTGCTTGGTTCAATACTATTTGGAGATGAATTTGGTTTTTCAAATTTACAAACCCATTCTTTTTTAGACATGTATAAATTCAAACGTTTAAGAGCTTCTGTTTCACCACCATGATATTTCACAGGTGCTAATGTTTCTTCATCAATTTGTAATTCCTTCAAATTGGGTATACTATAGTTTTCAGATTGTATATCAATTGGCTTGCAGTGGCTTGATAAGACATTAGATATTTCTATTGGTTCCTTTACATTAATGCTCTTTACTAATGAAAGAAACTTTTGATACGTGAGTGGTACAGCTCCATTGTTCTCTCTCAAAACTTTATGTACATCATAAACTGTATGCTGTACTCTCTTGTTAATGAATACACCTTTCTTCTCAGCAATGTCTTCAATGTATTCATCCTGCTGTACAAACTCAGGATCTATATCCACTTGACATGTTAAATATTTTACTTGCCAGTCATCAAATAACTTAGGCAATAGATCCACAGCTTTTCCTCTCAAAACATACAGACAAGTGTTTAATTTCTTTAAATTGTTATCTAAATCTTCTAAGCTTTGTAACAAAAACCGCAATCTATTTATGCCTACTTTATCTTTAATGTTTGGATCTAAAAAATAAATTGGTCTGAGCAAATGTTTTCTGTTTTCTGCCTGAAAGTTGAAAATAAATATTTATTACTGATGTTCTACTTAACGTACTGTCAGTAGTTCAGTACTACAATAACGCGAAATTGGAAAAATTGAAGTAAATTTCTACTTATTTAAACGTTAGTACTTCATGAAATATTGCTTAAAGAATAAGACCATCATGAAGGAAAATATAATATTTGAAACTGAAATTAACTTACTTCATTTATAGCATTGCGAAGGGCAAGGTTATCATGAATACGTAAATCTAAGCGAAACCAATGAATAACCGTTGGGGTTTTGGACATTTTACTCTTTTAAAGAGTGAAGTATTATTAATTTTGCAGAAACAAATGAAAGGTTCTTGTTTTGTAGGTAACTATTTCAGATCTTGCTGTGTAGTGTGTACTATAAATAATGATGTAGGTAATTACGTAGTTACGTAATATGAGTATTCTGTTTACATGAAGGGTTTAAATGGAATTTTGTTTATATGTATGTACCAATCAAGGGTCATTGATAATACAAATTCTATTTTTTCATTGATAATACAAATTCTATTTTTTATTAAATGCATGAGGTACCTACTACATAAAGGTAAGTAGGTACCTAAGTACATACGGTATGTACATGTACATATATCTTGGATTTATTTTATTTTAGGTTAAGTAGGTAGGTAGGTACCTACGTAGTACGCACCTACATATTTGTTTTTGTTTTTGATGTATTATCTATGGTCTGTCTTTTCTTCCTTCTTATTTTGAAGGATGGCAATTGACTTCTGGCGAAGGCATTGCCATCGTTGCCAATACCGAGTTTTTATAAATCTCCATTAATTGTTCAAAACCGACACACATGAAAAAGTGCATGAAGTGAAATGAGATGAACTTAATTTATTTGCATATATAATTAGATGAAATGAATTGAAATGAAACAAGACGAGACGATATGAAAGCCCAGTAGAATAGTGGATATTGATTGACGTCCAGCGACTTTGTTTTATTTTTCCAGGCTAGTGCACTAAGGTTCCCACACACATTTCATAAGCTACCATTATTATGTCAGCCACTCACATGCGCGCGAATATTTGTACATTGTACGAATTGTGTACGCGCGCATGTGAAGGGCCGTCAGACATTCATTCGCAAACTTAGCGGCTGTGCAAATAGGTTCGGTACTCAATTAGCGAACCCGTTTGCGCTTCCTCCTACACTTGTTTACGAATGTCTCACGACTTTCTCCTCCTTTTTAATTCGTCAATAGAATATTGAAGAGAAAGTGTTTTGAATTCTTTCCCAGACATCATTAACAGCCATGCTATTTTGATGGGATTTCTTTTGATGAAGATACGCTACACAGTAGACGTCACGATCTATGTAAATGGCGAAACGTCCGTTGCCTTCGCAATCGTGGGCGCAACTGGTCACACGAATGTGTGAGAGACTACGCGAAGGATCGCGGTTCGCGCGCTTTGATGTCTGTTAAAAAACCGACACAGCTTGGAAAACCGCGAATTCAGCAAAAACTTTGCATAATCATTTGCAAATGTCGTCTTACACGTCTTGTGGGTTTGCGTATTCGTGCGAATGTGAGTAACCGGTATTACGCTTAAACCCGAAGAACCACTAAATTAACAAAATAATACAAATCTAATACAAAAATAATACAATCATAAAAGTTCGTTCGAATTGATGGCTTAAAGAGACTTTTTGGCGGGAACGCACGGAGTGAAGTTATGTGATTTGTTTTATTTTGTCTATTTAGTGTTTCTTCGGGTTTAAATGTGTAATAACGGTGGTTTATTAACTGTTTAATATCTGTGAAAATGCACAAATGTGGGAAAATGAAACAAAGCCGCTGGACGTAACTTCTCGGGATTCTCCAAAAAGTCTACTGAGAAAATCTCAGTACTAAATAACCACCATTTTACTGAGATTATATTTCATCCCATATCATTTCATTTAAGTTCATCCCAGTTGATTAACGTCTCAAATTAATCATCTTCATTTCATTTCATATTATTATTTTTCATAAAAATAAGAACATAAATTAAAATAAGACATGACTCAAAGGTCTTGTTACCAGGTCATAAAATTCCTTAAAATAATGGCCTAAAGAGCTTGTTACCACACTATAAAATCGTTAAAAAAATCATGAAATGAAAACAAAACAACAAAATATCCAAATATTTGGAAGTGTAAAGAAGTGTAATTTAAATAAAAATAATAATGAGAGTATTTTCAATGACATAAACATAACTGACATAAACATTCAAATTCCAAATACTTTAGTGTCAGGATGTCTCTAACTTTCAACTAAATATAAATATTGGACCCTAGCTACCCAATTTGAATATTTAAACATAATTTAAATTACTTAAATAGGTTTGCGAAAACATATCCCATTGTAATATTTTTTAACTAAACCAAGCACTTTTATTTCGATTATGTGTTTTAATCGGTCTAGAAATTATATGTAGAATTATATTCAAATAAATTAATAAGTATTTACTGTCAGTACTCAAATACAAGATTTCATTCCTATAATGTCAGTGAAAAATAGAAGCTATCAATATGCCGAAAATCATAGAATTAACAGTTGAAATAGAAATACAGAGGGTAAGAAAGTATCTAATTATTATAAAAGTACATATATTCACCTATTAAATTTGTAAATACATATTGTTGCTTAATAAAACTGGTTGAAAATTTGAATGTATTTAATAATCAAATATGTAACATTATATTATGCACCTTACCTTATGTAAAGTGTTTTATCGCGATAGCTTTTATTTGTATAAATCATTTCAGTATCTATGGTATACTGGATACCATTTGTAAAGATGAAAATGTTTCAATTTGTAAATATTTGATATGCCTTATCGTTTTTCTGTACTCAAGGTCTATCTAGTACTGAGTACATTTTGGAGGCAACCTCACACTTGGTGGAGTAAATGTTGTTGGTTCAATCCTACTTAGGGCAAAACATTCCTGTGATTGGATTTGTTAGTTTTGTGTTTGGGTGTTTAATATCTAAGAATGTATATGTAAAGGTATATAATTAAGCATGTTACATAGTATATTAGTTTAGGTTTTAGATTCATACTTATATAATTACTAAAATATTTCCACTTTAATATCATGTAAATTTGAAAAACATGAAAACGTCTGTCAGTTAAAGCACTTCCTAGTTAAATATGTTAGGTAGTAATTAATGTTTATTGAATTTTACAGGTCTCATGTCCTGGTGTGTGGCTATGTCAAGATGGTAGAGTTTCATTATCAGTTTATGCACTTGGCACCAGTTATCAAACATGTATGCTGCCTCCTATTTTTCCTTTGACGTTCAAAGATGTGTTCTACTTTCGTAAAAGATTCCAAGAGACTTGTGCTTTGAACAATATTTGTTGTCTGTTGAGTAAGTTTTATACAGGCACTATCATAAAGATTATATATATCAAGTCGAAAACTGTAACTGTTAAGAAATGGTGCATGTGCAACTTTGTGCACATGGAAGTAGTGGAACTTCTTTTGTGGTGTGTAGTGTTGCAGTTTTCTTCATTTTTCATCCTTAAGTCAAATTTCTCTTGTAATCGGGAATGCTGTGTAGAAGAGAAACAACCTCTAAAAAATGTATATCTTTATAAAAAAAATTATATATAAATATATATCCTATAAAATAAATGTATATATTTTAGATCCTTCATTAAAATAAAATATAAGATAGATAATGTGTTATTGCCATCTACAGGAGCTATGAAAAACTAATGAAAAGCCATCTAGAGGCCTACGCCCGTAAACAGAATCTGTATAAGAGAAACGACTTAGCTTACTTTCTCCCTCTCTCCAAGGACGAGTTGTTCGCGAGATGCCGTGTCTATTTTCTCATTCTCGCTCGTCCTAATTTATATATTTTCTCTCTAGCCGTAACGAATCTGTCGCCAGTTAAATTTTACCCTCAACGCGCCAAAGAGGTTTCACTTCAACAATCGATTTTGGATACAATAAATCGAAATCAAGAAATTATTGTACTGTCATTGGTCCTTGATGCGTGTGCAAATTTTAAAGATAATCGCATGTTGAAAACTGAAAATAACGTTCAAACATTCCATTAAATACAAACAAACATAAAAAATTGTGTTAAAAATTTGGCAGATCAGTTTTGATACTTTATTAAGATAAAATCCGATGTTGAAATTTCCATTTAATTTTCAGAGGACGAAACTATTTATTGCGAGCTGGTGCAGTGGTCAGAAGACTGTGTGTCCAATGAATGCACGATCCTCGCCCAGTACCTCGGCGCGCTGAATGATGTGCTTTTCCCGCCGAACATGTGCTCTAATGACGGAGTGGACCTGCTAATGAGAAGATCTAAAGATTTTCCTGTGAGATATACATGCTTTTACAGTTCTATTTTGCTTTGTTATAAAATGTACTGTTATGATCTTTGGCTCGGGATAAATCTCCACCGAAAAATAACTTAAAACTCAGATAATTATTACAACACTTAAAGGTAGAGTTCGATATCACAATTCAATCTTTTGTTTTCCTTCAGGCGATCCCCTTTATGTTTTCCTTCGAATAGAAATGATTACTGACTGCCTTTGTGTCGTCTTTGCAACGCTTATATAGTTGCACGACATGTTTACAATTTTCCAGAATATTCCCCATAATACTAGCCGTTTCGATATCCGTTTTCGCTATTCGATAACAGGTGGCGTTACTCGTACCGCTATAATAATATCATCAACTATAACTGGAACTGGATCTCCTTCCTCGGAAGTGTTAATAACTCAATTACGTATTCAATTAATTTATTTTGAAAAGTTGAAAACTTGCATGTCCCTTTTTAATGAAGGCATGTAAGTGGGTATGTATATGTCGCAACCTTATCCCCCAAATTTCACGGATAGCATCAACGTGCATTTTGAATAACCTTTATTCCCACGCGAAAGCGTGAACATTACAGAGAGAGAGAGAGAGAGTATTGTTTATTGTACACCAAAAAACAAATAAACAGTGCGATACATTAAACACAAAAAAGTACAATTGGCGGTCTTATCGCTAAGAGCGATCTCTTCCAGACAACCATCAGGTGGACAAGAATCATTTGGAAACGAACTACGCGCGGTGTACGATTCCAGTGAAATACATATACATATATGTACACACACATATACACATACATATCTCCGTAAATATACATACAATTAATACAAAGTATTGTAATAATAATTATGAAAAATAAAAAAATAATTAATTTTTTTATTAAATTAAATTACATACATACGTTTGCGAATAACAAAGCGCAACTAACACGGACCAATGTAAATCTTTACGTGTCATATGTCATTCAGTTAAACTATGCTCAGTAGATTTCGTTTCCCAGGGTATCCTGTCGCCGAAAATCGAGATCGCCACGAAAGTTCGCATAGACGAAGTGTGGAATCAGTCGTGCCTCGGGCATTTCAAGCAGACCCCCTGCCATTGCGATAACGATTCCTCCAGACAGAAGACTGTTTGTCACTCCGCCAAATACCATAGGTAATCGAACTCGTACTTATTTCTATAGTGAATATTTAAAATGATTCCAATGATTGCAATAAGGTAGATCTAGAAGAAATGGATGGATTGCGTGAAAGACGATATGGGTAAGAAGGGAGTGAGCGAAGAAATGGTATATGATAGAAGAGTATGGAAGGAGAACACATGTTGCGCCGACCCCAGGTGACTGGGAGAAGGGCAGAATAATGATGATAATGATGGTGATGATGATTGTAATAAATTACCACATATAATTTCGGGATGGATGTGAAACGCGTGTACCGGAGGAACGCCGCCTCGTAGGGAGGCCTAAGAACCGCTGGTCTGACGCTGTGAAAGGAAACTTACGTGAGCTCCAAGTGTCGGACTGGCAAGGTGTTGCGCTGCGCCGGAATGAGTGGCTGCGTGTATTGTCGGAGACCCACTTCGGAGTCATAGCGCCAGTGCAGTAGTAGTACCGTAGATTGGGGGGAATCGGGACCCTTTCCAAATCCAACACAAATTTTCAATGCTTTTTCCTAGGTAATATCAATAAAATTGACATTAAAATGGTTCCGGAGGCTTAAATTTTTATATACAATGCGTTATTATACATAGTTCAATACAAAATATACTCAAAAACTGAAAAAAACTAGCTTGACCCGATTCACTTTGGCTTTGGGGTGAATCAGGTAACGTATGTGAGTTTTTCGATAGGGCTGGCACTATTTAGTTGTTAGGTAGGTACCTAACTTTAGGTAATTAACTTTTTAATATTTTTAATGAGTTACAAAACTTTGATGACTAAATTAAACTACTTAATATTCTTAAACACTAAATAAAAGTAATTTTTAGTTCAACAAAGTTAAATCTAACAACTCAACAAAAGTATTGTGACATCCCAGATTTGTCCCTATTCTACCTCTAGTCCTTATTTCTCCCAATCTACTCTGTATAATTTAAAGTAAATCTCATAATTCCTTCGTTAGAATAAAATGTTTGAAGTGAAAACTACATAAGTTATTTTGCGATTAGAAACTAGACGAAACAAGAAGGCGACACTAAAAAGAGACAAATATCTGTAGGATATAGGGTCACATTTATAGCCTATTTACCGTCTGAGAACTATTTTTCGCTCAAAAAGCATTACTCGACTACAAATAGTGCTTTGGAGAAGTAAAAGTAGGTATAGAAGTTTTGAAGACATACCCTAAAATTTTATATATTTCTCATGTTTTTTTTTAGAAAAAAGTGCGGCACCAGTCCTGGCAAGAGATCCGCATCCAGATCCAGATCGAGATCAAGATCTGGGGGGTCCAGATCTTGTTGTAGCCTAACTCCTGTCGCAGCAGAACTAAATAGCACATGCCGATGTCCCAAGTGAGTGCTTTTGTCGCCTATGTCGATCGTGATATTGAAACCTGGGCTTAGCTAATGCTGCGTAGACGGGTTAGGCAGTTTGGAATTTGGAGTTCGTGTATAATCTAGCTCGGAGCTAAGGTTGAACTATAGCCCTAACATTTAAGACTTATAACACATTCGACTATTGAACATTCCACTTCATATCCCTTGATATTTCAAATCTTTTCAACAACATGACTTCCTTTCCAAGATCAAAAGGGTTTTACGTGATTCAAAATGTGTTCCAACTTTGCAACACACATGACATGACAATAGGCAACGTCGATTTCCCACATCTAAACTTTTAAAGAAAAAGGTTATGATCGAAAACAGGGACGCCTCAATAACAATTTTGTTAGGTTACTGTTTGATACTGCTCGACAACCCTAAATAATACTACAAAATCTATTGTTTAGTTGATTTGTAAGTTGCAGTTGACAAGCAATAGCAAAATAAATATGTGTACTAGTTTAAAAACATAAAAAAGACACGCTTAAATAGCAAACATTAAATAGTAACAATTAGTTTCATCCTATTTTATATTCAGTTGATACTTGCTCAGGATATTAGAGCGAAGTCATAGTATTGCTTGCCGCCGCTGACTATTCCCCGAATCCTGATCATGCAGGAGCCAGTCACCGTCGACGCCCTAGACACGTCCTTACGGATCCATCAGATCCAATAACCTTTGCACTAGACGCCTTCAGCTCTAGGAGCAGGCTTAGGGACCTCGGTAACCGTACTCGTCGAACTCGACAAAGAGTTCGCCGTGCAACCTAACCCATGAATCAGCTCGCTGAGTTTCTCGCCGGATCTTCTCAGCGGGTCGCGATTCCGAACCGGTAGTAGATTCATTCGCGAAGCAGCTACTCTTGAGTTGTTAGGTCTCCTTCGGAGGCGCTCGGGCAGCTGTTAGCAAATCCCACCCCTCCTGGCTGAGCCTTTGCTCGCCCACCTGTCCTGGTGAAACTGGAAAGGCCTCCGGGCCACCAGTAATACTTCAATCATAAAAAAAAAAAGTATTGCTTGCCATCGGTACTTGATGTGTATGAAAATTTTGAAATTAATCTGAACATTCCATATTATTAATTTATTTATTTATTACATGAAGGGCTAACAGCTTAACTTAATAGAGTTAAACAACTACAAATATAAAAATAAAAGCCAATTTAATTACCCACCAATAAAAACCAACTTGAACCACTAGATAAAAAAAATAAGCGTGCAAGTATTAATACATATAAGTAAAAGAAAACTTAAACCATACTAAATTAAATGTACATTTCTATATAAATGTTACACATTCATATAATCTCAATTTAAGTTTATTGATTTTTTAATTTTTTAATTCAATCGTCCGTGAAAATTACTAACATACACACACTAATCATCATTACCATCGCACCGCCCGCCACCAGAGTAGAGTTCATCCATACTACCTGGAGCCACTGCGGTCATCCACAGTGCGTTTCCAGAGATCTTTTTTGCCACGTACCATCCGGCTATGGAATGAGCTCCCCTCCACGGTATTTCCCGAGCGCTATGACATGTCCTTCTTCAAACGAGGCTTGTGGAGAGTATTAAGCGCAGGCAGCGGCTTGGCTCTGCCCCTGGCATTGCTGAAGTCCATGGGCGACGTTAACCACTCACCATCAGGTGGGCCGTATGCTCGTTTACGCGCTTGGGATCGAGATAACTAAACCTTCACCGGAGTACAATTTAAAACTCTATTTAACACTTAGAACACTTAAGACACACTTCACAATTCCTTCACTCTTCCCGCTTCGCTTCAGGTGATCTTAATAACTGCCTTTGTGTCATCTCTGCAACACTTTTAGAGTCGACACGACAAGCTACATTTATTGAGAACATTCCCAGTGGTACTAGACTTTACGATATATTATGTTTCTGTTATTTGATAATAGATGGCGTTACACATCTCGAGCGTTCTCGATATTACTAGTCTTTTTTATATTCGTTTCTGATATTTGAAGGCAGATGACGCTACTCTTAGGGACATAACATTACGGACCAGAAAAACAAATTCCTTTTCTCTATTATAGTCCAATGTCTAAATCCCGGACGTCAGTGTCGCGCGGGCGGGCCGCTAGGGGCGCGCGGCCTGCCCCCTTCAGCGTGTACAGTGTGGCGCAAGTCACACGCGACCGCGACGTGCGGCGCGATGATTGTGACCAAACCGAAAGGTTACAATACCCTGCACTCGTTTTTTAACTTAATACCTTTTATCAATGCGATAAGCAAACGTATTTTCAGTAGACTGTTTGGCGGGAACGCGAGGAGTGAAGTTGTGTGATTTGTTTTATTTTGTCTATTTAGTGTTTCTTCAGGCTTAAATGTGTAATAACGGTGGTTTATTAACTGTTTAGTATCTGTGAAAGTGCACAAATGTAGGAAAATAAAACAAAGCCGCTGGACGTAACTTCTCAGGATCCTACAAAAAGTCTCAGTAAACGACCACCATTTTACTGAGATTATATTTCATCCCATATCATCTCATCTCATTTAATTTCATGCCATGTTTCATATTAATTAGCTTCATTTCACTTCATATTAACATTTTTCATATAGTGCAGTTTTCATTAAAATTGAAATAAGACTTGACCTAAAGGTCTTAGATACCAGGTCATAAAATCCCTTAAAAAACAAGTATTTTCAGTAACTGATAGACGTAATTCGAATTTTTTCGCTCACCTTAGACGCAAGAGGCTGCGTAACTGTGGGATGCTTTCAACACGACCAAAAAAGTATTTAAGACGAGAATCGGAGGGCCGGAAGTAAGCTATAAAAATTAAGGAGGAATCTTTGCTACCGTTACTCACGTCTTAGGGTTGGGGTTCATCGAATATCAAAGAAATCGATATTAATAAGATTATTAGTAACATAGTCATGCACGCGTCTCCGTTCATGTGGACTACGTGTGCAAAAAGAAATGTTTGTATTAAAAATATTATAAAAAAAAATTTAAAAATCGTACATAATAACCATAGTCCGACCCGGAAAACTAGTAACGCACTTATAAACTTTAATAAATTTGTTTTAAATTCTAGATACCTAGAATTTTCTTTGAGATAACATCCAAGTAGTTATACCGTGATGCGCGCACAACGCCAGACTTATATCATTTTACAGAGATACTGTGAGCTCAGTTAATGATAATTCAAAAAAACATTCAACTGTAAAATGGCAATACGATCTCCCATGTTATAGGCACGGAATATCTAAACGAAAAAACTTACTCGAAATGTGAATTAAACCTATTAACTAACCGCTACATTTATCAACCGTTTTTCTCATAGTTCAAGTTTAATCTGCAGGACGCACAGCGAAACGGACAACATAAGCTCGGACAGAATACAAAAGTTAATATTAGAGAGTCGCTATATCGACCTCGAGCCCTGCAAGTCAACGCGCAGGGAGACGTTCAGCAAAACGAACGTCGCAGGTAAATTGACTCCGTGCGTCTGTGAAATATGTCGGCGCTATCACGAGTTGTTTCACTCGGAGGGTAGTTTGAAAAGTTGATGACTATGTTCCCGTTTAGATTCATCAAAAGAAATTTGTTGTTGTTGTAATCAAAATGTTTTAGGACCACGAATTTAGATACACTTTAACGTACTTGTCTTGCCCCAAATTATATAGTATTAAAATATAAAATGCACTATAATCTGTAATAATTTACAAAAACATCTATAATATTTATTTTAAATCTAGTTCTCAGTCTATTTATGTTGAATATTAAATTGTAATGTAATAAATTATTATATTGTTCTGTAAAATGTGTTTTGTCTATTGTTTATTAATATTAATTTAATATTTAAAATAATTATGTTGATCATGAAATAAAACAATTAAAAATAAATTACATGTATTTCATTTATTATCATCTTATAATTTTATAACGGGTAACTTAAAATTACACTTTATAATTAAGTGATATGGCTCCACTTTCTAAATACTAAATTCTTTATTTTTAATTAATATATAATATTATAAAGACCAGTTCACAATAAAGTGTTAATATTATTTTTTTTACTTTTCGTCAATAAATACAACTGGTTTCAATGTTCAACTAAGGGTTTCTATATTAAAATACTAACGCTTAGTAATTCGATAAATTATAAATCAAGTCTAATTTATAATCGAAGTTATTGGATTTTTTTTATACTAATAACACGTTTTAGTATATGAAGACAAGTTACACCATATTTCTTTTCCATTATTTTGAATAATTAAAAACGAAATGCAAATCATAATGGTAATCGAATACTTTTTAACTTATAATAACAATAGATCATTAAAACTAGATTTGTTTTATAAAATATATAAAAATACGTTATTTTTTTCTCAAAACGCAATTAAAATTAATCGTTTCACTTTATATCGGTAGATCTTTCGATTAATCGAATCGCATTTTAAGCATAACTTCAATTAAGTACCTACTGAGTATAAGGGAAGGGTACACAGTTTCATAAAAAAAAAAATTATCGTCCTAACTAATATATAAGATACCTCAGACTACTTTTCTATACACAAAGAGGTAGAAAAAGAAAGGTAAAGAAGTATTGAGTAGAGATAGTTTCAAAAACGAAACTTAATGAAGAATGAATATATGCGGGTAGTTTAAAAATTTAAAAAAACAAACACGCTTTAATCCCTTTTTATCCTGATCAGTATCAGGTCAAAGTAATTATTGTATCGTCATAGATAATTGAGACGTGGACCAATTTTAAAGCTAATGGGACTTCGTAAGGTTAGTGAAAAATACGTTGAAATATTCGATTATATAAATAGATAGAAATACATCAAGATATTAAAAGCGTGTTAAAGTAATATAGGTACACTAAATCTAATTGTGATAATGTACTTTAATCATAGTTGTATAGTTATCGATGGCTTTACAGAATACCGCCACTGGCATGCCATCAAAGACTTAGGTGTATTTGCGAGCTTACATTAATACAATAAAATAAAATGCATTTCGATAATAACTAATATTAATTGTTTATCGTGATCGCTTACTATTTTGTACATTTTTGTTTTTTATTTTGTCTCTTAACACTTTTATTTTTAATCTAAATGAATTTACGTGATGGAAAAATTATCATAGACAAAGTTTTTTGTAATTTAATATGGTAAGTATTGCAAAATATTACTTTTATGATTCGGAGTTGATTTGTAGGTTTCAATCATATACAAGAAATCGTTTGGAATCGTTCCTTAAACCAAAATGTTTTTTTATTTCTTTTTTAATAGCTAATGTTTTGCATTGCACGCAATGTAACACAATTACGAATCAGATGACGGGCGATCTAACTCACTATTAGTAACCCTGTATATTTAATTTTGCTTGAGTATACGGGGTGTTAGGAGACCGCTTCCGAAAACGAAGACAGACGATAGTACTAATGACACCTTTGATGATGGGACGGAAAAAAAAGATTCTTATTTAAAAAAAAACATATTTTTGTAACGTTTTATTAGCATTATTTACGCTCCATAATGTTAGTACAGCTAAATGAAACGATAGTTTCACAAAAAATACATTACTTTACTAAAAAAAAAACCAGCAATGAAACACAAAATCAAAAACAGCTGATGCTCGGATCAACGAACGATAGGGCGCGGCGCAGACTCGCGCGATCGCACAAATACTTATTTACAACATTTTTCTAAACAACTCCATCATCAAAGGTGTCATTAGTACTATCGTCTGTCTTCGTTTTCGGAAACGGTCTCCTAACACCCAGCATATCGCAAATGTTTGATATACAATTTTTCTATTTCGAATGAGCGCTCCCAGTTTAATAAGTACCCTCATGGAGTGTTAACTGTTACCTTGTGTCCTTTCATACTGTTCCGTTCTTTGCTTCTCCTATAACTGGGACAGTCGGCGACAAAAGCGATTATCGCAATCAGCGAGAACACCGCGTAGAATATGGTCAGCGCGATCAGGAATCTGTCGTCCGTTTGCTCCCAGAGGTTGTCCGCGCGAAGGTACCCGTAGTTGGAGAGCACCTGAGTTCCATTCGGCGGCGGACACGGCGATTGTACTATTATATCGGGATACGGCCTCTGCAACATTTCGTTTAAGATTCATTTAAGACGTACTTGCTTTTTTCCTACCTTTTCTAGTAACCTCGAGGGGTTATTCTAGATTCACCGAACTAGTAAGTGAGCTCGTGGGGCTCAAACCTGACGTTGTTGCGAACACGAACCCTAGCAAGAGCAGTGATTCGCAGAATCTACCACAAGATCGGATACGCGACCCACTGAGAAGATTTAGGCAGCGGCTTGGCTTTGCCAATGGCATTGCTGAAGTCCATAGGCGACGTTAACCACTCACCATCAGGTGGGCCGTATGCTCGTCTGCCTACAAGGGCAATAAAAAAAAAAGATCCGGCGAGAAACTCAGTGAGCTGTGTCTGTAAGTTAAGATGTACGATGTTGGTCTATTTCTAAGACTTGCATGAAGAAGCGGATTCCCGTTACGCTCGGCACGGTACTAAAGTAGCTTCGTATATGCTATGCCCTTACAAGGAGCTATTGAAACTATACTGATTTGTAAAATGTACAAGTAAGTTTACTCATACCTGTCACAGTACCTTNAGATCCTACCACCAGTGATTACGCAAATTATAATTTTGCGGGTTTGATTTTTATTACACGATGTTATTCCTTCACCGTGGAAGTCAATCGTGAACATTTATTGAGTACTTATTTCATTAGAAAAATTGGTACTCGCCTGCGGGATTCGAACACCGGTGCATCGCTTCATACGAATGCACGACGTCTTATCCTTTAGGCCGCGACGACTTTTTCATTGCCTCAATGATTATATCTCATCGTCAATAGTTATATCATTGGCACCGCTATATCCCATTTTTAAGAGTTTTTAAGTAAATAAAATCTCACCTGTTTATTGGTGCATCTGAGATCTTTACTGATGCTGTTCCTCAACACCGTTTCGCTTAGTTCCCTCCTCAATATCTCCGGTATCGTCCACCTCGATGGAGACACGTATTGCAGCCATTTCACGTAATAAGGCAGATCCGCCTGCTGTATCATCACGCCGTTTACCAAGGTGCCGAGCAGGAGACATACGCCAGATATCACTGAGGCCGTCTTCTCCATCGGAACCAGGAATATCGTTGCTCGACACACCATTTGGATGTTGATAAAAAATAACACCATGCATCCTAAAATATTGGATAAGGATTATTCGATTTTGTTGACGCGATAAAGTCTTATAATTCGATGATTACCGGCTGCACGTACGAAACAATGTCACGTTCCAACTGAGCGTGAGCGTGCAAACGATAAAGAGGCACGATCGGCCCAAGCGTTGGCTTGTGACACATTTATATCTCTTCTCGCTTGACGTCAGAGCTAGCAGTTCGAATAGTTCTGCTAATGACGTTATCACGTAAAACTACAGTCCGTAAACCGACTTTAAAGACAACCTATATTTTTAACTAGCTATCGTATCTTTCTGGGTTTATTATAACAGCAAGTTAAATATGAGTACATATTAGCGTACATACAGGGTGCTTAAAAAATTTCAATTCATGAGGGTATCATTCGGTATCGAAGTTAATGAACTCGTGTAATTCTCTGTTTAAACTGAAGATAATATTATAAATTTAAATCACAAAATATATTATTGAAAGTATTTTTACGTTTCTATTTAGCGCTTATTGTTTTTTTTTTTTATTATTTATACCGTAGTTCCAAATACTTAAAAAGTTTTGTGGCCACAACAAGTGACTCGGTCAACTGTAAAAGTAGTTTTAATCAGGTCTATGAATCGTAAGAAAACAGAGAAAGAATACTACTAAAAATTAGTGCAAGCGGTTCGGTGAACAATTTAAAAAAAAGGGTTATTACCTCCTGATGTTTTAAACTAAAATTTTATATGACAGCCGCGTATAATACCATGACTTTAAGAAAATATATATCCAAGTTATTCCACGTAAAATGTATTTTTTTTATTATTACTTTTTCTAGGGAAAATAATATAGATTTTAAGACCTAATATGTTTTATACTTAGGTCCTCAATTATCTTTGCTCCAGTATATTTGCTCAAATTTAATAGAACACCTTTTTGCTGTTTCTAGATTGAACTCAGTTTTTGTTACACCCTGTATGCAATTTGAGAACGGTGAAAGTGGTACTAGTTTCAATTTCGTTAATATAATATAATTGTATATAATTCATATGTAATCAAACACATTCACTTCAGTGACTATTATGTAAAAACTCGGAAATAAATTGCTTATGATACAAACCTAAATAGATATAGAAGGCGTCGAAGGCACCTGGTGTTGGTGCATACAGCCCCGACATGGCATAACTCGGAACCAAGTATGCTAGCCAGGTCAATATCGCTGAAAGTACTTCGATAAATTGCTAGAAAAAAGCAACGATAAAATCTTAAAATACATTTCTGATATTGCAGACTTAAATTGTATAATCAAAATTTTTTATGGCACTTTAGCAACAGAGGCTGTGTAATACACAACATAGTTGCTAGCTGACAGATTAAAATAAAAAAGGATTACTGGTGGTAGGGCGTCTTGTGAGCCCGCGTGAGTAGGTACCTACAACCTCCGTTTGGGTTTGAAACCGTTCTACTGTGAAAATCGAGACTTATGTCTGAAGGTCTCTTGTCAAACACCCCAATTACATCCCAGGTGAGTTTTGAACTCGTCGATCAATCTAAGCAATTCTTTTTTTAAATAAACTAATAATAATAAAAACTTACATCGTATAATATAAACACGGTCCTGGAGTAAAGTCCTACAGCGATATCTCTCTCGACGTGCTTCCTCATCGAGCTGGCCTCTCTGGCGCCGAGCCATAGCAACACCGGCCAAGCAGACAAACACATCACCGTGTAGTGAAATCCTATTCTGTCGTTCTGTGTTAACTGTCAAGTGTCAAGAAAGTGTCAAATTAACTTTAACCTCAAAACTTTACATTATTACAAAACAATTACAATTACAAAAAATTCAACATGAAATTTTGATTCAATTAATATTTTTTTAGTATTCTTTAAATACATGATAACTTGTTACAAAGTCGTCAATGGCAAAAAAATGGCGCGCATTCAACTTGGTGCACGTGAAAGAAGTGAAACTTCTTTTGCGGGTGTGTGTAGTGTTGTGGTTTTCTTCATTTTTTATCCTTAAATCATATTTCTCTTGTAATAGGAAATGCTGTGTATAAGAGAAAGGGCCTAGCTAGCTTTGACTTCTCACTCTCGACGGTCGAGCGGTTCGCAAGACGCTCAGTCTGTTTTCCTCACTCTCGCTCGTCCTAAATTGTATCTTTTCTCTCTAGCCGTAACGAATTTGTCGCAAGGTAAATTTTACTCTCAACGCGCCTAAAGAAATTTCACTTCAATAAAGTCACACGAGTAAATATCACATGGCATATTGTGTCGGCCTCGGTACGCAATCGCGACTTCATTTTTAACCAACTCAACTTTACAAGAATTAGTTTCTTCTATTCTAAAAAGCATGCAGACGCTCTGCATTAGGGTTTATATTCATGTGAAAACGTGTACCTTAGGGTCGGTGGATGGCAGGTCCCAGAAGATGGTTCCGGTGATAATAGATATAATAGCAGCTATGAGGACTCGCGTGATGATATTCGATAATGTCGAAACTTGAGTGAATACTAAAGTTTTTCTGAAATCAATAGTTTAAAAAAAAGGCATATTAATAAAACTTTTAATTTTCTTAAATACTTTTAATTGTACCTATATCAAAACAAATGAGTATCAGGGTTTATGATATCAAACTTGATTTTACTAAATAAAAGAGTGCCCAATGTCAGAATTTTTGTACGTTTATTGCTGTTGAATGCGTTTGGATGCAGGCGTGCCCACTGAGTTTCTCACCGGATCTTCTCAGTGGGTCGCGATTCAGATCCGGTGATAGGTTGTGCGAAGCACTAGGGCCAGTTGTTAGCAAATTTTCTCAGGTTGAGTCCTTGAGCTCACCTACCCGTTCGGACGTAGTTGGAATAGCTTCTTAGGCTACCAGCGAATACGTAAGAAAAAAATTGTGCAAGCACTTTGCATTGTTTCGTACTAAGCTGAAGCTTTGTGCGCTTTGATTGAGGCTTCGGGTATGGTTTTTTGCATAGTATCAATAACGGTAGTGACTTTTGGAATGAACGAGACTTTTTTATCCATCAAGTCGATATCATTGCTCGGTTGAGTGTTGCGACGGTCCAAATGTTATCGTTTCAAACTTATTTTATAATACCAAGCAGTGCCTATGTCATCCCTACTGGTAACACAATATAAATTACATTCGATAGGAGGACTTTTTGGCGGGAACGCGAGGAGTGAAGCTGTGTGATTTGTTTTATTTTGTCTATTTAAATGTGTAATAATAACGGTGGTTTATTAACTGTTTAATATCTGTGAAAGTGCATAAATGTGGGAAAATGAAACAATGCCGCTGGACGTAACTTCTCGGGATCCTCCAAAAAGTCCACTGAAAAATCTCAGTAAATAACCACAATTTTACTGAGATTATAATATATTTCATCCCATATTATTATCGTCTCATCTCATTTCACTTAAGTTCATCCTAGTTGATTAACATCTCAAATTAATCATCTTCATTTCATTTCATATTATCATTTTTCATAAAAATAAGAATATAAATTAAAATAAGACATGACTTAAAGGTCTTAGTTACCAGGTCATAAAATCTCTTAAAAAAATACATTTGATAGTATAGCAGTACAGCAACGAAGTGATGAAAGTTATAGGTAGTAGCGTACGTACTGCAGTAGTGCGAGTATCTGCACGTGCGGCGCGGGCGGGTGTCGGGGCGCGGGGAGGGGCGCGGCAGGGGGCGGGGCAGCGCGAGTGGCCGGCCGGGCAGCGCTCAGCGCCTCGATGCGGCCCGAGGACTCGAGCAGCGCCGCCGCTGACAACTCATCCAGGGTCACCAGGTCCACTAACACATCGATTGCTAATTATTTTCTTAAATATATTTCATCTTTGGCGTAAGGGTTATAAAACGATGAACGATCTCTTGACTCAAAGGTCTTGATATCAGGCCATAAAATCGCTTAAAAAAAAAGATTAACAATTTGTCATCGTCATCAGATATTCTGCCATTTTTGTTTTGTTGGATGGGACAGTCGTTATTGATATTCGGAGCTCATGTCTCAAAGAGGGTTGCGACGTTAATATCGTAACATCGGGAACCGATAAATATTTAACACAGTAAGCACATTCTCCCATCTAATAAGATTTTTTTTTCAAAAATCTAAATCCACTTCAGAGGGTAGACAAAAATTCAAACGGAAATTCCTTAATGTACATACATGACCGGCAATAATACACTTTAAGACAAATAATAATTTAATAGGCTTAGTACCACTCAGTACTTACTACATTACTAACAGAAGCTTAAATTATTATTAAGCTGTCAAAAAATTTATACGATAACAACAGTTCATTTTTTTCTACGCCTGTTCTAACAGCAGTTCATTTTCTTAGAGTATTACTAAAGATGTTCTTAGATTCTATGCTAACACGCTCCACAGATGTCACAGAAAGAGAGACGAGAAAAAGAGAGAGACAGAGAGAAGTTCTAGCTACTTACAATAATAGTCCGATGGGTTCTTGAAGGCAGGGCAGGGATAATCGATGGATGAGAAATATGGCAACATATCCCGTCTGTAACCGCTGAACATTGTTCGACCTGCTGATATCAATACAACCTGTAATTCGAAAAACCATTTAAATAACAAGAACCGGAGTAGATTTCATCCGTATTTCCCGGAACCACCGTGTTCGTCCAGTGTATCCAGAGAATATTTTTGCTATTTAACATCCAACTCTCTTATAAACTTTCATCTGCGATGATCACAGCGTGACATGGTATGTCCTTTTTAAAAGAGGTTTGAAAGACTTCAGCGGTATGCAGGGATTTGGAGGTACCCTTGACATTCCTCACGTCCATACGGCATGGTAACCACTAACATCAAACCCTAAACTCGCCTGAATTTCACGAACAATAACATTAATTTTTGACGATGTTAACATAAAAAAATAAATGAAACTTACTTTAGTCAACATGGCAAAAATCTCATACGTAGGTGGATGTAACGACATGATCACGACACGACCAGTGCTGGCCCAGTTCCGAAGATACTCCACCAAGAAGAACGTGTCAAATATGTCCATCTCTTTCGTAGGCTGGTCTAAGATAAGGATAGCCATGTCCAAAAGTAGTTGACACGCAACATTCAGTCTACGGATCTCCGAGCGAGTCAATCGCCCTACATTCGTGTCCCTAACTTGTTCTAAACCAAGCTCTTCTATCAGAAGATTTATCTGGAATAATTAATCTGGTCTTAGTATGTTTAAATAGACAGGGAAGCCAGAGGCTCCTACATAATCATGATAATGTTACAAGGATAATAGTTATTTTTTTGATGCAATGAAGACCCAATTCTTATGATGAAGAGATCCACCATGCGCGTAAACTTAAACTTCATTAATAACAAAGAAAGAAATATATAAAAGGACCACTCAATCAAACAGATACAAAGTAGATGCATTGGACTTCCAATATTTAAAATCATTCGTGAAATCAAACAGTGTTGCCAATCAAAAATACTTTATATGTTAAATGCAAACGTAAATTTATTTGTAACGCTATCACGTCTCAACTACAGAATCGATAATCGTGAAATTTTGCATTCATATTGCCGGGTGTACATAAAAAGATATGGATAGTTTTTTTATTGCCCTTGTAGGCAGACGGGCATATGGCCCACCTGATGGTGAGCGGTTACTGTCGCCCATGGACTCCAGCAATGCCAGGGGCACAGCCAACCTAGTGTCTACCGTAAAGTGCACTCCACAAGCCTAGTTTGAAGATGGACTTGTGCAACATGACATGGAGCTTTCATCATAAAAAAGAAATATTCCAGAGGGATAAAACTTACTTAAAACGCTAGTTTAATAAATAATAACATGATTAACTTAACAGATAATAATAATTTATTGAAGAGCCCTCACATCTTAAGAGAGGCAGTTGAATTCACATTAAGCTCAGGGACTCCGATAAACATTCTGATAAGTTATAAGCTCCCCTGAAAATCTCAGTGTATTTTGTTGTCAACTTCAAAGATGTCGGAAAAACATTACTTACCCGATCACGGTCACCCATTTTAACGTGACTATGCGTGTTCCTGGGCTTCCTCAAAGCGGCATGAAACCTCAACGTGTGCTCCACTGACATGGCGGGGCACAGCGCGGTGTCATTCCTCACGTATGCTACCACTTTCCTGAGCGTAGACGAAGCTACAGGCTGCCCATTGATCACTATATCGCCGGATAGTTTCTGCAACAACGTTCACATACGTTAGTCATAAATAATGAACCAAACAGCCGTGCGTGATTTCCTCCACCGTCCTCCTCATCCATTATTATTTTATTTATCCTATTTGATTATCTCGTTCACATTAATAACCGGGAGATCGATGGTACGGGCCAAACTCAACTGATCATTGGTAAGTATATGTTTTGGTATTGGTACTTGTGTTCTTGTTTCTGTTGCTTGTTGTTTATAAATAAAGTTTCCGGCTATAAATCTTTAAGTCAATATAGGTTTTTAACTTCCAATTCAATTTTATAAACTTCAAATTCAATTTTGTAAACATGTGAATGTGATGTTTACGAAACTGAATTAGAAGTAAAAAACCTTTATTTAAAGTTAGTTATACAGGTCACATTTTAATAATTAGTACCATTAAAGTATGTATTAACCACCATTGATATGGCTATATAATAAAGTGGTTTGAACTATATTAATAAAACAACGAAAAACGCTTGAGTCGTCCGTGATCACGAAATCTACAAAGTATTCAAAACGCCGGACATAACGCGAGATTAAATCTTAAAAAATACATTTAAAAATTTGCCACGTTAATTAAATTTCTTGTAAAAATTTATTATTACCTTTCGAACTCCAGCTAGAACGTCCAATAGTCCCGTCGCCTCATGCTGAGCGGTCGCCAGCACTGCGAGAATCTCGCCACACTTCACTTCGAAACTCAACCCTGACACCACGAGCGTTGATTTGTTTTCCGGTGACGTTATTTCTAAATTGTTTACCTGTGAATTAAGATTTGTTTATACATACTTCGGTAATGGCAAATTTACTGATTTCTTGTAATCCCGCACGGGTACAGCTACCACCACCTTGTCTATTTATATCGTAAAGCATTAACGCGTTCTGGTTTGAAGAGTGAGGCAACCGTTGCGTTATGGAACTGAGGTTTAGAACTCATGTCTCTAAGTCGGTAACGGCATTTATGTTGTTGACGTCTGTCGGCTCTAGCAACCACTTAACACCAGGCATTGTATCTACTATTACTATGAACAACTTGGCGTCGCTCGGTGGAGCAGGAGCTAGGGGTCTTGGGCATGACGTGGGAGGAGCTAGAACAGACTGCCCAAGACCGATATAAATGGAAAAATTTGATTCGAGCCCTACACCCCAGCAGAGGGTAATAGGAAAGCATGATGATGATGATGATTACTATGGTATATGATGATAAACCAGCTCTGGTCCCACTACGTAAGATAGATATTACAGCGCAAATGCCGCTACCCACTCTGAGATATGAAGTCGAAATTTTATTTGTGTTACATCGACTGTTTCATTTTTCTAATCCAAACGCACGTTTGCGTCACGGCAGTTTTTTTTAAAGGATTTTATGACCTGGTAACTAAGACCTTTAAGTCATGTCTTATTTTAATTTATATTCTTATTTTTATGAAAAATTATAATATGGAGATAAATGAAATGAAATGGAGACGATTAATTTGAGACATTAATCAACTGGGATTAAATTAAATGAAAGGAGATGATATGGGACGATATATATTCTCAGTAAAAGGGTGGTCATTTATTGAGATTTTTTCAGTGGACTTTTTGGAGGATCCCGAGAAGCTACGTCCAGCGGCTTTATTTCATTTTCCCACATTTTTGCACTTTCACAGATATTAAACAGTTAATAAACCACCGTTAATACACATTTAAACCTGAAGAAGAAGACGAAGAAAAACTAAATAGACAAAATAAAACAAACACACAACTTCACTCCTCGCGTTCCCGACAAAAAGTCTGTCACGGCAGTAACGGTCTGAACGGCCGTACAGTAACAAACGCTTGCGGTCCAACAACTTGCCCTACGACCAGCCTATACGATCGCAGTATGCTGTAACCCTGATACCGCTCAACCGCAGTAACTCGGAACCATTGCTGTCCATTCTCTGATGAATTATTCAGGCGCCTTTTAGGACGTCTACTAGAAGGTATGAGGTAGTGCTACGCTACATCCTTACTTAGCCAGATACAAAGAAAGTCCAAGTCGCTGTGCATTACGGTAATCCACACGCAAATTGATACAGACATTACTAAGATAAACGAAACGTCAAATAGAAGTGTTTTTATAAATTGTAAGAGCTTTGATTCAAATGTCGTATGTTAAATTTTATTTTTGAACGCGAATAGTTATTTATTAAATATATACTTACGTACTATTACTTACGTAATAATTAGGGTAAATGTAAGCTGAATGTGCATATCCGTCGAGTTGATCTCCAGGCCTTAGCGTGGAGTGCTTCCTGGAGTGCGCTACCGACATGTGACTGCCGGCCTTCGACATCCTTCCACCGAGGTGCGAAGACGGCAGCAGATAACTGTTCAAAACAGAAGTGTTACCATTACAATCACAATTGAATGTGCAATATCGAAAAGGGCACATGTCGCATATTTTGACAAATACGTTTTTTCATATACATGTAGTTTTGAGGCTTACCTACACCCATTTTATAATAATTCCAGTAATTTTCAATTGCTAATTAACATTAAAATATATCTAAAGAGCTAATATTTTAAATTTTACACTGCTTTAGAAAATGATCAGTTTTTTTTTCATTTCCTGAACATTTTACATTTTCAGAGATGTACCCTTTTCGAAATTGCATATTCTATTACAATCTCTTACTCTATTACAATCAGTTGTAATTGAAAAACTACTACAATCATTCCATAAGTCATATTTATAAACAAATATTGTTGTAGCTTAAAAACAATTGTGTTTTTTTTTAAATACTGCTGTTTAAATTGGTCAATGCTTAGGTTAAATTTATCTGGTATGGATCAGGTTTTTGGACCACTAAAGTGGCGGATGAAAGACGATTGCATTAAGAGAGTTTTAACTATGAATGTGGAAGGCTTTAGAAGAAGAGGTAGACCTGAGAAAAAATTAAATGATTGCGTGAAAGACGATATGTGTATGAAGGGAGTGAGCGAAGAAATGGTATATGATAATGGAGTATGGAAAGAGAAAACATGTTGCGCTGACAACAGGTGACTGAGCAGGAGAATGATAATGATGATGATGATTTAAACTGGCCAAGGCATTTAATTTAATTTTAACCAATAGACGCCCTATTATAGTCCTATTAAAGATCTTTATATGCTCATATCTTGGTCATTATTACACAATACGCGGTATATCTTTTTGTATTGTAGGTAACAATCGAATGAAAAAGATAAAATTTCCATAATTCGCGGTGTAAGAAGGTTGTGTTCATCGCCTATTAAGCTTTAGTTATCCCCGGCCTTGGCCTTATTTAACACACACACAGACAATATACAATAAAACACAAATTTATGGTACCACCGCAGAAGAAGTACATTTTTTGTCCACCGTCACAATTCCACTAAGCTTTATTCTAACAAGATTCAGTCGTTTTTCGGCAAATAATTTAACCTGAATTTCGTTATGAAAAATATATATACAAAAATGACCGGCCTTCCGTCGCGGTCGATATATCAGAACAATGTAACTGCGATGCGTAAAATTCTGCACAGCCTTGTTTTAGCTGAACGTTTCAAATGTGTGCGTTGACCAAAATCGGCGTGAGAATTTGTTACTTTATAAATCATACTTCTACATTTGTTTCATTTTATTAGGTGGATGCCGTTTTAACGTATTCATTTCGTTGCCGTTCTTTTCAAATAAAGCTAACAGATAAATATCTAAAATAATTTTAATACTGTATATTGAAAGCAATATTATTATATATATTTAACACGTTTGCGTGAGCAACGTCTTACAACGTCTTGTTTTTTAAATAATGAAATGGCGTATCGTCATATCGTCTTTTCGCATTAAAAGTGTACAATTTCCAAAAATATTTGAAATTGAGTTAATATGCGAAAAAATTTGGTATCACCAGTATTATTCTCACAAATACTGTCAAAAGAGCATAGTTTAGTTTTTTTTAGTTTACCTATGTTTTGACTACTATTAACAAAATTATTATATAGTTTTATCTTACTTTAAGAGACAGATAGTGTAACTGGTAAAAAAATAAAAATAAATTTTGCAAATATGCTTAATGTTAAAAACATTACATGTTAAACCTTTAAAACACTCTCCTATAAAATTAGTAAATTTTGAGATTATACAGTTTTAATTCGAGAAGACGATATGTCGGCCTCTAGATTATCATATTTAGTTTGTTCAAACGTCTTTGGACTTCTATTTAATGGGCAAATTCCTATGGCGCATCTACTTAGCGCCGCAACACATTCGATTTTCACAGCCTATACCGCCGCGTTCCTAAAAAAATTCATCATAAGATGTGCGTATTACGGCGGGACGTTTTTAGACGTTGCTAAACTTTGTTTGGAAAAAGGTAAGCCACAGTAGCAATATTCAGAAATGAGGTTGCTCACGCGAACGTGATAAAAGTGTTAACAACTGATTTCTTTAGAGAGAGTGAGAGAGAGTATTCTTTATTGTACACCAAAAAACAAATGCACAGTGTGATATATTAAATACTAAAAAGTACAATTGGCGGTCTTATCGCCTTTTTTTTAGTCACCTGTGATGATCTCCGTCCGGAACGAAATCGGCAACACTGTTTCTTCTGTTCGTGTATTGGGACCGTTGCGGTCGCCCGTCTATGCCCAGTAAGTTGGCTTCGCTGACAGACTTGTGCCGGGAGTTGGCCCACTGCGGCTCCCGGATACCCGCCTGGTGCATCGCTACCAGCGGCACGCCAGTACTCGCCTGGAATCATAATAGTACGATAGCGTCGTCATTTATTTTTGCCCAAATGGGCGTGGGGGCGGACTCACGTCCCACCTGTGTGCTTAGTGAGAGTTTTTTAACGCTATCGATAGCGTAAAAGTTAACTCAAGATTGTATGGAGTTGGAACAGCGTCCTTAGCGGTAAACGTAGGCAAACGCTCCAATTCCATACAAATATGAGTTAACTTTTACGCTATCGAGAACGTTAAAAAACTCGCACTAAGCACACTGATATCTGAGGTCAGAAGGCGGCAACACCCACGCTGCTGTGACCGTTAAGTGCAGGTCACCCGTGAGCCCGACTATCTACACTGTTAAAGTAGTATTCACCTGATAAGTAGACTGAAGGTTTTGCATCCGAAAGTCAGGATCAGATCGATACTTCCGGCTGTATTTGTTGTAGTTAGCTGTGGTTTCGTTGTCGGAGCTGTCATAACCTGAAGACGTTTCCCGAACTCCTCTGCTCTGTCGGTGTATTCTAAAAGTGAAAATTAACAACCTCTTAAAATTTTATATCTTNAAAGCAACTGCATTACAGATCAAGTTAATGTGACTAACGTTACGTCATACAGGGATAGCTTTAATTATGAAGATACTAATTCGTTGTATAGCTGAATCGACACTGCGGTAAGTATTCTAAATTCTCGATATTAATTTTTTTTAAGCTACAACTATAACTTAGTAATATTAATCATATAGGTATTTTTTTTTTTTTTTTTATTGCTTAGATGGATGGACGAGCTCACAGCCCACCTGATGTTAAGTGGTTACTGGAGCCCATAGACATCTACAACGTAAATGCGCCACCCACCTCGAGACATAAGTTGTAAGGTCTCAGTATAGTTACGACGGCTACCCCACCCTTCGAACCGAAACGCATTACTGCTTCACGGCGGAAATAGGCGGGGTGGTGGTACCTACCCGTGCGGACTCCCAAGAGATCCTACCACCAGTGATTACGCAAATTATAATTTTGCGGGTTTGATTTTTATNACCGTATTAAAAAAAAACATTTGCTCGCTAAAACTCGAGAACGGCTGGACCGATTTGGATAATTTTGGTCTTGAATTATTTGTGGAAGTCCAAACAAGGTTTAAAAGATAGATAAATATGAAAATGCTCGGAATTAAATAAAAATAACAATTTTGTTTTTCACTTGATGTGTGCTCCGTCGGACGGATTCCTTTTGTTTGTTTTAAGTTTATTTTATACAAAAGCTTAGGTCTTTTATTTAGCAGAATCCGCCGAAATGCGTCCATTGCTTTACACAACTTCTCCAAGGTTCAGACTAGAATTAAATACGAAAAAAAAAACATAATTTACCTTTGTACCGGTTTCATTCCGCTGCCTATCGAAGTTTTCGGCTTTGGTGTGCCAGATCTTTGCGAGCCGTTGTGATTCGGCGGAAACACTCGTGGTAGCCCAAATTTGAGATACGTGTACATGTTCGAACCGAGAGCTGATCTGTTAAATAAAACAATTGATACTGTAATATATATATTTTTTTTATTGCTTAGATGGTTGGACGAGCTCACAGCCCACCTGGTGTTAAGTGGTTACTGGAGCCCATAGACATCAATAACGTAAATGCGCCACCCACCTTGAGATATAAGTTGTAAGGTCTCAGTATAGTTACAACGGCTGCCCCACCCTTCAAACCGAAACGCATTACTGCTTCACGGCAGAAATAGGCAGGGCGGTGGTACCTACCCGCGCGGACTCACAACAGGTCCTACCACCAGTAACATAATAATTTAGCTACGCCCGAGACCTAAAGTTTTGTAGTTATCCATTCTTTTAAATTTAATAACGTCGCAAGCAAGTTGCGACCCGAGAAAACGATATGTTTCCCTGATGTTTTTATTCTACATTGAAACACAACGCAATGTAACGTTGTCCTAAGTGGTGCGAGGTAGTTCCGCCTACTATTTTAGCTTTTCATTGCAGGTTATCGAAAAGAAAATGAAATTGTTAAAACCATAAGTATTCATTATGAAACGAATTCGTGAGAATCCTACGAGGATTTTTATTACTTCATTATCTATTCGATTCGGAATTGAATTTTATAAAGACTGATTTACTAGGCAGGATAGTTAGTATCCACCCACCCGTACGGACTTACTATGAATATTTATCGAATTTTCGGTATTTTAAGACCTTTTTTATATATGAATACTAAGATACAGATAATAAGAAACTAATCATAAAAAATCGTGTTAAAATTGTTTCGAAGCATATTAGGTAATTCTAATTTAGATACCTGAAAAAATCTATAACAGTTCGTGCCTTTACGCTTGGTTCAACAAATGAAAAATCTGTTAACTCTGAGATTATTTGATATTAAAACAGTTTGGTTTTACGGAATACAAGCTTTAGTCCTGTTTAAACGAGTGCCCGTGCGTAGGTAGCCTCAGTTCGCAAACTATGGAGAGCATCTGTCAAGGCTTGCATATTTTTAGTATTTATTTGTATTTAATCGTATGTAAGTCTATCTTATATTGTATTTATTTTTCACATGTTTACATAAATATATACATATTTTATGTAAGTTTACGAAGATATAGCACCGTCCATGCTATTTTACTTATTCCTCTCCCTGCAAGGTTGCCTGGAAGATATCGCTTTCAGCGATAAGGCCGCCAATTTATGGATAGACGAGCTCATAGCCCACCTGGTGTTAGGTGGTTACTGGAGCCCATAGACATCTACAACGTAAATGCGCCACCCACCTCGAGATATAAGTTCTAAGATCTCAGTATAGTTACAACGGCTACCGCACCCTTCAAACCGAAACGCTTTACTGCTTCACGGCGGAAATAGGCGGGGTGGTGGTACCTACCTGTGCGGACTCCCAAGAGGTATTTAATGAGCAAAGAAACGTTTTGTCTATTTGTTATAAGTGTTGACGCACAGGTAATTTTGTTTCTGGAAAACATTAAAAAATACAGTACGCTTACTTAGGTCCATAGCGAGGATGGGATAGTATTGACTGCACGGTAGTATCCCTCAGCTGAAAATTTCCATACGGCAATGGACTTTTGTCGGTGCTTCCTAAAGCGCTGTCTGTGAAGTCTGAGTTCAAGTTTTGCCTAAAATGTACATATAAGGTTTTATTATTATGTAAATATAAAGATTATTATATAATATCGATAGGTCGAGAATTCTCGAGAACATAGTGGGTGATGAAATGATTATTGGCTAAATTGGGAGTTAATAATTTTTTTTGTATTTGCATTATAGGTATGTATTATTTGTTACAATTTCCGATGTCATTTGTAACTACGTCGTCATAGAATGAAAAATCAGTTGCGTTATTAGAAATATAATGGTATGATCACACAACAAATAGACTACAAATTCTATAAAAACTAGTAAAAAAAGGAAGCTATCGATCCTCACAAAAAACCACTGAGTGCTTGTATCGCAAAATTTATGTATGATATATGTATTATTATTTAACGGTAGGCAGAGGCTTGGGCTGGCTTGTCTGCCTACAAGGGCAATAAAAGAAAAATATTCCGTAATAATTATTCCTTACAAAGTATTTTGTTTTCTAATAAAAAAAACATTTCCTGATAAGGATCAGAATGACAAAATTATGACTGTTGAATTCTAATATTTGTCTTCTGTTATAACCATAGGCATGAACTATTCGCACGAAAGACTCACAACAAAATTTGTTCCGTTTTTAGTTAAATACAAATATATATTTATTTCTACCTATAGATAGACCACGCGTGCAGATCTTCGGAATGCATCCCTCTAGGGTCGTGCATCATTGGATTGGAAGGCACCGAGTAACGCCGCTCTCCGCCCAATCCCAGCGCGGACTGCGACATCGCGTCACGTCTTCAATTAAACCTGATAATTTAAATCGATTATATCATTTACCGAAGTCATTCGAGATATCGAGATATACGAGAAATCGTCAATTACAAACTCACCAAGGTCATCCTATTTGATAGTCCTTTGTTTTTATTATCTCCATGATCAATACAAAATCTGAAACAAGAAGAAGAAGATAATTATTAATGTAGGATTGGTAAGAACGGAACGTATGAAAAGAGTGTGGTACGGAGCGTTAAGATGTGAGTGAGAGAAAACAGAAAGAAAGGGAAAAGAGAACGACAGACAGAATGACAGAGAAAAAGAAAATGACGAAGACGGTTGAAAAATGAGCAAGACGTAAAAAAAAGTGTTAATTATTAATTATTATTATAACAGAAGATTTTGGAACAGTGGAAGTTTTATTTTATGCGCTGCGATCTCTATTCTACATTAATGAAATAAATATTCACAAGAGGAAACATCGCGGCCGACGAAAGATGAAATATTGAGGTTATTTGTAATTGGGGCAAAGCCGCGCATTCCGTTCATCGACATTGGCAGTATCCTGACAGCATAAAGGCCGTATAGCACGTTGCGTCAGAACCGGACGCGCCCGCGACGCTGGTCACACCCAATCTCACCATCTCATTGTTCGCGTTACGCAAATGTCAAAACTGTATCACTAGGTTTATTAATTAATTATGCACTACAATATGTGTCGGCCGTGCTCTATACGCATTGTGTTATTGAGGTAGAAAGTTAAATCTGTGAAAAAACTTTTGAAGCTCTCGAAAGAACTAACCAGTAGAAGTCAACTTTCTCATCTTTTTATTTTTTATTGCTTAAATGGGTGGACGAGCTCACAGCCCACCTGGTGTTAAGTGGATACCGGAGCCCATAGACATCTACAACGTTAGAAAGTAAATGACCACCTTGAGAAAGTAAATGACCACCTTGAGAGATTCTAAGGTCTCAGTAAAACGGCTGCTCCACCCTTTAAACCGAAACGCATTACTGCTTCCCGGCAGAAATAGGCAGGGCGGTGGTACCTACCCGTGCATCCTCACAAGAGGTCCTACCACCAGTAATTACGCAAATTATAATTTTGCGGGTTTGATTTCTATTACACGATGTTATTCCTTCACCGTGGAAGTCAATCGTAAACATTTGTTGAGTACGTATTTCATTAGAAAAATTGGTACCCGCCTGCGGGATTCGAACACCGGTGCATCGCTCAACCCGTATGCACCGGACGTCTTATCCTTTAGGCCACGACGACTTCAGACTATTAACTACTCTGATATCTCTGCTATTTGTTATGTCATATAAACCCATATTGTCATATAGATTTATCTGCATTGCAAGTTTAATTTGTTGCTACGCTATCAGTTAGTTTAGTAGTATTATTAACATTATCAAGAAAAAGTTTATTCGGGTAATAAAAATAATTAAATAAAATCAGTCAACTTAAAATGTCTAAAAGTCAATATTTAGGCTTTAGAGAGTCATCAATTAAAGTGATTATTTTTTTAAATAACGTTTACCTTGAACTAGACCTCTGTGTCAGCAAAAAAATGAACCGTGTGTGAGATTCTCTTGTTCATTGTTCTTTTATGAGATACGAGGAAAAGTCACTACTAATTATTATTATTGTTATTAGCGAGTAATGAAGAAATTGTTAACGTTCTGTTTAATGAATCTGTGGTAAGAGTTTGAAGAAAACCACTATCAGTTTCTTAGCAATAAAAACAATACTTTGGTATTTCAAGTTTCTTAATATCTACAGCTTTCGTGTAGCTAAAATTTGTTAATAATCCTGGCCTAAACTCTAAAACACCGGGGACTCTCAAACAATGCAACTATGCCAAAAGTTCAAATGCCGCAGGTAATAAAAGTCGGAGTGGTGGAGCTCGATGGGGTTTAGTATGTCTCCCGGTAGGAATTAGAAGAAGAGGAGGACTTTGGTCTTCCTCTTCTCCCTCTTCTTCTTTGGAGGCACCGGAGTCCGACATAACCCGGTCTGTTATTAGAAAAAAACCCCTTTCAACCGAGTATCCGTAAACGGATTCCCCAGTGTTAAAAAAAAAAGGTAATAAAAGTCATATCCGCAAAAGTTATTATAGTCTATGTAATTTTTCTATTTTACAATTTTTTTAATGTCCTTGTAGGCAGACGAGCATACGGCCCACATGATGGTGAGTGGTTACCGTCGCCCATGGACTACAGCAATGCTAGGAGCAGAGCCAAGCCGCTTCCTACTTCTTAACACTCCACAAGCCTCGTTTGAAGAAGGACATGTCATAGCGCTCAGGAAACACCGTGGAGAGGAGCTCATAATTAGGACATAGACTTCGAGACTCAATATGGGTGACAACATTCGTGCTGTTATGTTTATTCGCTTCGTTTACCACAGCAAATGGACCTGGAGCTGGTTAAATTGACTATTCATATAAAATAAAATAAAAACAATAATTGTAGAAGGTGTCGATTCCTTTTTGGTAAATAAACCTATTTGACCTATTTGAATTTACCGTTACGGAAGTTTTATGTAAAAAAAGATATTATCATAATTAACGTTAATGTTCGGTTTTATATACATACCAAGCTAGCACTACTATCGCCGAGTTCGTTGTGCATCTAAATCTATATATCTCTTAGGTTTATGGCGTTTCCTTTTAGATTTCGCCAATGTCAAGTGTATTTAATACTCTGCTTTCTATAGCGGGCTTCGTGAACGAGCAAGGTCACGCATCTAAATCTTGATACTTAATATTTCAGCAGTCGACTATGTACAAATATGTCAAAATCGTTGTCAAAAAACGTAAGCCAGAGAGACATTTTGAAACTTGTAGCAAAAGTTAGCCAATAGGTCGCGTAGTGGTCTAACGAGGTATTAGTGTCGTCAATTGCTGCGTGTATTGTTTAACACAGTTTCGGATGTTGGAGACCCTCACCCGAAAAACGCAAGTCGTGATTTATTACAGGGTTGTCAAAGCAAAGCAAGCACAAATATTTGCTCAATCCTTTACGAAATACACAATAACAGAGATAAGATCTGAGAATTCCTCCACTTCTTATCTTAAATATAAAATTTAGCGAGCACACATAATTAGGGAATCATAATTTTAACTTGAACGTTAAACCTTGGATATATAATTACATTATCGCTCCGCTAGTACACTGTACAGGTAAATACGATCACTAAATCTGTTTACATTTCAATTAATTATCGATTCATCGAATCTGTGTACAATTAACATTGCAATCTGATAGAGAAATCTACACGCATCTTGTTGTTCCTACGGCTCTACTTTCATTTGTCAAACGTACCTAGATAATAAATAAAACTGGTAAACAATATCAAGTTGTAGCTTTTAATTAAATCACTAGTCTCATAACATACACTATTATTTGACGGGTGACTACAACGTTTTTCACGATTGATGTGTCATGATCACGGGTAGACTGAAGATAAGTGTGAAATCTATAGTCGACAAATCTGTGTACCTGTTATATAATAGAGATTATGTAGAACGCCGCGAATGCTTAAAAAAATGTTTATAAGTCTCCGTTGGCAGCCCTAGGTCGAGGAACCGGATTCACAGGAGCTACCGGTTTGCAGACATTGCATGTTGAAATTATGATAATCTCACGAACAGTGACGTGTCCATCGATAGTTCTCACATTGAGTAATGCGGTGACTGTCTGAGTTGAATGATTTCCATATAGCTTTATTTTTATTTATTTATTTATTTAATATATTTTGTACACACAGCTGTTAGAGAACACGACAATAAGGATACAGAGTAGTTAATTGGTTAATTAATTAATGAGTTCATTAAGCATACATTTTGGATATAATAGATCCTACTAAATTTTGTATGAGTGCTATTTTGAACAGAAATCATAACTTGTTGCTTTATTGATACTCTCCAATTGTTATATGTATAAGGAACTAGCGACCCGCCCTCGCTTCGCTTCGGAAACATTAAAACACACATGAAACCAAAAAAAAAATAACAAAAAAAAAAAAAGTAGCCTATGTTCATCAGGGACAATGTCGGCTTCTAATGGAAAAAGAATTTTTCAAATCGGTCCAGTAGTTTCGGAGCCTATTCGAAACAAACAAACAAACAAATCTTTCCTCTTTATAATATTAGTATAGAAGTATAGATTGCAAATAAAGAGTACATCTACTTTTTCGAAATGTTTAAAAAATATGTTAGTTCTAAATAACCTAGATCACAACGTTATCATAGCTTAAGTGCATTATCTACGACCGTTACGTAGATTTTACTAGCTAGATCCCGGAGTGAACGCGTGACGATCAACTCACGAGTTTTCCATTACTTTCAATGTTAAGACTTAACTTTGCATTTACACACGTCCTGGTCATTGCCTTTTGTAATGTATATTATTTTGTGTATTAGTCATGTAAGAAAATAGTTTTACATCCCTCTGATTCATTAATCAAGCTAGATTTGATTGGATTAATCATCTGACCATCTATCGCGGCATCTGATTTCAAAAAGACTTAATAAAATTAAGCATATATTCGACAACTTTTTTTTTTCTTTGTGAACCCATTTTAAAGATTTTTTATTTTAATTGAAAGCTGGTTCTTCTCATGTAGTCCCATATAAAGTTCATCAAGATCTGATCAGTTGTTTTTGATTAATGCCTAATAATAATTAATTACTGGTGGTAGGACCTCTTGTGGGTCCGCACGGGTGCCACCACCATGCCTATTTCTGCCATGAAGCAGTAATGCGTTTCGGTTTGAAGGATGGGGCAGACGTTCTAGCTATATTGAGACCTTAGAACTTATGTCTCAAGGTGGGTGGCGCATTTACGTTCTAGATGTTTATGGGTTCCAGTAACCACTTAACACCAGGTGGGCTGTGAGCTCGTCCACCCATCTAAGCAAGAAAAAAATAATTATGTAATTAATTGCTTTCAACTACATTGATGATATCAAAAGTTAGTTTTCCTGAAAAAAAAATTTGCTGTTCTGAGCAGCAATCTGCTGTTGCAGATATCGATTTTACTTGTAGTTTCGGAATGTCATTGATAAAATTTGACGTTCGTGAGCGGGGTACCAACCACCTCTCTTCGTCAATTGAGCCGTATTCTGAACCTTTTTATTTATTCCTTAGATGGTTATGGTCGGTTAT